GGAATTGTAGTTCACCTACATTCTGAGAGCACTGGGGTCTCAAACAATGATGTATCTGGACCAAACTTGGCACAAATACTCAATATGCCCAAATGTGAACACTAGTAGAGTTTGGGGAAAATAGACCTTGACATTTTGGAGTTGTAGTTGCCGGGATGTATAGTTCACCCACAATTAAAGAACATACTGAACCTCACCAACGATAGAATTGGGCCAAGCTTCTCACACAGAACCCCCATGACCAGCAGAAAATGCTTTGCTTTCTGATGGTCTTTGGCGATCCCTCGGACACCTCCTCGCGACCCCCCTTGGGGTCCCGACCCCCAGGTTGAGAATCACTGCTCTAAGATAACGTTTTCTCTGCAGCTCCCAAAATGTATTTTGTCACACAGCTTTTGAGAATATAAACGATCTTCTTTTGTCGAAATCTGGGATGAAATGTGTGTGTGAGAGAATTGTGGTTTATAGAATCTTGGGAGGACAAATGTGATGCCTAGCAACTATAGCTTGTAAAGGTTGAGTAGGAGCTGTACTGAGCTGGAGGCAGCATATCCTTTGGCAAACAGAATCTGTTATTCCCTCTGGTTATCCAAAAGCTGGCAAAACAATCAGAAGTTCAGTAAGCATTCACTAGAGATTGTCCAGATTTCATTCTGCTGTCATGAAAGCTAGAAACATGCAGAAGTWTCTGAACAGATACATGGACCCTAAAGAAAAGCCAAGATGAGTTGCATATTGTTGCATATTGAAGTGCTGTAKTAGTCAGTTCCAAAGTGCMATTACCTAGCATGGTGGTCTCCATAGACATGCCTCCAAGAAGAGTCCAAAATGCAAGTAGCTTTGTTATTCGACTTATGGTAACCTATAAGAGCCCCCCCCCCCCCAGGTTCCCCAGATTGTCAGGTAATCTGTTGAAAGCTTACAGATTTGGGGATGTTTCTTTCTTGAGTTTATCAATTCAGAATGTAGTTTTCCTCTTTCCCTATTATAACAGTCCCAGTTTACTCATCTTGGCTTTTCTTTAGGGTCCATGTATCTGTTCAGAAGTTCACAGTATCCATAGAACTCTTCTCTAGCACCATGTTAACAAGTAAGTGGATTTTCTTATCTATCCAAACACATCTCTCCTTCCTTCCAGGAAGTTGAGATCGTCTGAGGAGGCCCTGCTCTTGACCCCCCCCCCCCTGCTTCACAGGCACATCTAGCGGGGATGAGAGATAGGGCCCTCTCAGTGGTGGCCCCTCAACTGTGGAACTCCCTGCCTAGGGATATTAGATTGGCCCCCTCCCTCCTGACCTTTGGAAAAAGAGTGAAAACCTGGCTCTTTGAGCAATCGTTTTGATTTTCAGCATGACTAGATAAACGCAGATTGGAGTATGAACTAGGAACGGCTAAGATGATGGAACGGTTGAGGATTTGAACAAGAAAACATAGTTTTTATAATTTTTATTGTTATTGCTTTTGCGGTTTTTAAATGTATTGTAATGCGATTTTGTTGCTTTTAACTGATGTATGTATCTTTAAATGGCATCTAATTGTACCAATTTGTACGTCCCCCTGAGTCACCTTCGAGCTGATATGGGCGGGATAAAAGTGACATAAATAAATAAATAAATTTTCTTTCTACCCATTTTCTTCACTCTCCAGCTTTCACGACCATGTAAATTTAATATTCACTGATGTATCTTGACACTTCACAATCTTGTCTAGTTCCTTCATGACTGCTCTTTCCTTAGTGCACAGGGTTAGCAAATATTGTTGTTGTTTATTTGTTCAGTCGCTTCTGACTCTTCGTGACCTCATGGAGCAGCCCACGCCAGAGCTCCCTGTCGGCCGTGGCCACCCCCAACTCCTTCAGAGTCAAGCCAGTCACTTCGAGGATATCATCCACCAATCTAGTCCTTGGTCGGCCCCTCTTCCTTTTCCCTTCCTTTCCCACCAGCATCATTGCCTTCTCTAAGCTTTCCTGTCTTCTCGTTACATTGCCAAAGTACTTCATCTTTGCCTCTAATATCCTTCCATCCAGGGAGCAGTCTGGCTTTATTTCCTAAAGTATGGACCGGTTGAATTTTCTTGCGGTCCAAAGTACTCTCAGAATTTTCCTCCAGCACCACAGTTCAAAAGCGTCGGTCTTCCTTCGCTCAGCCTTCCTTATAGTCCAGTTCTCACATCCATAGGTTACTATGGGGAATATCATTGCTTTAACTATGCAGATCTTCGTTGCCGGTGTGATGTGACCCAACAGGAAAAGCAGAGGGGATATCCTAAAAGTGAAGGAACACAGAATGATGGGAAGGCTCTACTGGCCAAAGGCCAACTGCTTGCCCAGTAAACAAGCTCTGGCTACTTCCTAAGTAAGTTTGAGTTTCCAGGACAAAAAGACAAAGGTAGTTCAAAGGCAGGAGTGATGGTGAAGGAACCTTTCAAGTGGCATTGCCCCTGCCCTCGCTGGCTCTCCCCTTCGCCTGAAATGTGCTCAGGCATCCTGCCAGCTGCCGCTGTTGCATGTTTTATTCACAGGGGCACATGGCTGCACTTCCCTTTTATGAGAGCGGAAATAAAGTAGGCCATGCACCATGCAGTGGGAATAGTCTCTCTCCCCATCTGCTCTGCTGGCTTGGAGCAACTGAACTTCACAGGCTGTACTACTGCTTCTGCTGTGTGTTTATCTCCCGCACCCACCACTAAAAGAGAGACGTGGGTAAGGACTCCAGGAGTGAAGCACTGTTGGATGGATTGAAATATAGGTTGAGTGTTCCTTATCCAAAATAGCTGGGAGAAAAAGCGTTCTGGGTTTCTGATTTTGGAATACCTGTGTATTGTATTCCAGAGTTCTCAATTTGTAATCTGTTTGTTGACCTAAAGTACTATGCTTTTCCTTCCTTGTGTTGTCAAAGGTTTTCATGGCTGGAATCACTGGGTTGCTGTGAGTTTTCTGGGCTGTATGGCCATATTCCAGAAGCATTTTCCTTCCTTTATCCACCAGAGGAAAAAATTGTCTCAGACACAGGCTGTGAAAGGAGGCATTATTGAGCAGACACAACATTTGCATATCTTCTAACTTTTTTACATATGAAAACAAGGACATATGTGTCCAAGCAACACCAGAGTATAGTCCTAATAATAACAGTTATTAAAGAGGAAAAACACACAGGGAGGAGAGGCTGCAGTAGTTTGCTTTTGCCTGAGCCTATTAGAAAGAGGAAGATTCCACTCCCACCTCTCCTCCACATTTGAGTAAACTGGGTGCAGACTTCTTTTGAATTCCGTTTGCAGTAATTGAAGTAAGATGAGAACTAAGGTGAAAGTTTAGCAAGAGGAAAAAATAGAATTCTTTTAAAAGCAAATGAAAAAGACTGAGCTCTCACATTTTGCCACTTGAGATGGTTCCATAGATAGGTAGATAGATAGATAGATAGATAGATGGATAGATGGATGGATGGATGGATGGATGGATGGATGGATGGATAGATAGACACAGTACTTACATTAGTACTTACCTTAATCTAGGAACAATTCAACCCAGGTATTTGGGATCATGTTTTTTTTACTACAATCTCTAAGTTATACTTAAATATACACAATAGCTATTGCCTATATAGGTAAGGAATTGTTATTTGCTTAGTTCAGGGCTAGGTATCTTTGCACCTTGCAAGCACACAATGTAGACTTATGGTAATGATGATTCAATCCTTTCATGTCAGCTTCTAGGTAGATAAAAATAAGGTGACAAGAAAGAGAGAGAGAGAGAGAGAAGGTTGGTGAAGGAAACAAGTAGAGAAACTGATGAGGCCTCCTTTTTGGAAAGCAACCTTGAAAGATTGCATCCCAGGGAATCGTTCCCTACATAGAAAAAATAGTTCAATCTCCCAGTTTCATGTTTAAATGTGGATCCATAGTGACCAACATGACTTTAAAGATGGTGACTATGGTAATTTGCGGCTTGAATGAGTTTGGGAGGCATAGTTTTAAAAAATTACAATTCCATAGGTTGAACTATGATTTAATTCCGTAGGGTCAATAATAACTTGTTTGGTTGCATGCTGCAAGTTGCTTCTGGTTGTAAGAGAATCAACTGTCTACAAAGACGTTGTCCACGGGATGCTTGGATGTGTTACAGTCCTGTGTGGAGGCTTCTCTCATGTCTCCCCACTTTTTGCTTAACTATAAAGCAAAAAATGGGCGCTAGAAATAATATCATATGAAAGCTGACTGGCACAACCTGGGGATCACAATCAGAAACAGTGAAGACATCTGCTCTTGCACTTTGCCACTCTGCTGCTGAGTACGCATGCCCAGTGTGGAACACATCTCACCATGATAAAGCAGTGGATAATGAGACATGCCGCATTATCACAGGGTGTCTATGCCCCATACCATTGGAGAAATTACATTGACTAGCCAGTATTGCACCACCTGACATCCGCCGGGAAATAGCTGCCAATAATGAAAGGACCAAGGCAGTGACATCTCCGGCCCATCCCCTTTTCGGATATCAGCCAGCATGCCAATGCTTTAAATTAAGAAATAGTTTTCTCAGATCTAGAGATACTCACAGGAACACCTCAGCAAGCGAGAGTCCAAAAGTGGCAGGCTAAAACCTGGAACCTCAATCACTGGCCAATGCCAAATGAGAGACTACCTCCTGGGCACACAGAAGACTGGGCGACTTTGAGGGCACTGATCAGACTGTGCTCTGGCACCACGAGATGCGGAGCCAACTTTAAGAAATGGGGCCACAAAGAGTAGTCCTCGACATATGAGTGTAGAGAAGAGCAAACCACATACCAGCTATTACAATGCAACCTGAGCCCTAGAGGACCTTCTATAGCAACACCAAAGGCACTCCAAGTGGCCAGCTACCGGTTAAAGGACATTTAGTATAATGGCAAGTTTCTTAACTTTGCTTGTGTTTTTAAATACATTACAACTTTACCCTCGGTTCGCTTCTGACACAATACATAAATACATAAATAACAAAAAGAAATAGACACGAGCGATCCTGGGGCCAAGGATGGTTTATTATCAATAACCAGGCAATAAACAGAGTTAGATGGCACCTTATTTAGCAGACTGAGTCTCAAGGAAAAGACTGCTTCAGGGCCAGCTTCCTTCCTTGCTCCCTTCCAGCCCTTGCTCCAGGCCAGAGCTGCCTAATGGAGTCATTCCTTTGAGCTGCTGGGGGGTTGTTCATGCTTTTGTGCTGGTGTCTCAACCTGTATGGGGCATGGAGTTGTCTCCTTCCAGCCGCCCCATAGAGATGTCCTCTTCTTTTCCCTGGCCCCGATCTAGCCAGTTCCAAATGAGAGGAGTGGGAGCAGCCCGTATTGCTCAATTGGTAAGAGTCCATCCCATTCCCAGCTGGGGCTGAAATACTGGTTTGAGTCAGGCTGCACAGAGGAAAGAGCTACTGTTGTTGGCTAGCAGAAAGGGGCTTGATGTCCTGGGTCTTCATGTAGGAGAGAAGCTGCTCTGGGATTTCGGCTAAGACGTCCTTCGCCAGGCGGGCCATACTTAGCACGTGATTCCCTGAATGATCCACGTAGTCCCGGAATGGCACAAACTGTAGCAAGAGAGAAGACAGATGGGCAGATCTTGGGAACATCAGTGATCATCATAATGCATTAGCCTTAAGGCATTTTCAGATTTTGATCTGAGCATGTTAGATGCTACAAAAAAATATAGGGAAATTAATTTGCTAATTTGTCGATGTTTTTATTGTGTCAGAAGTGACTTCAGAAATGCAAGTCACTTCTGGTGTGAGAGAATTGGCTGTCTGGAAAGACATTGCCCTTGGAACATATGTGGGAGCTTCTCTCATGTCCCCACATGGTAAGCTGGAGCTGACAGAGGGGAGCTCACCTTGTCTTGTGGATTCGAACCACCGACTTTCAGGTCAGCAATTCAGCCAGCACAAGGGATTAACCCATTGCGCCACTGTGGCTCTTAATTTGACAATGAAATCGTTAGATTGTTACCTCCATTTAGACTTACTAACACTTCCCAATAGTAAATTAAAGGAATGCAAAAGCAGCTGTGTAGTGGCTTAGATGTTGGGACTGGAAATCAAGGTTCGAATCCCCAATAAGCCAAGGAAACTCGCTGGGGAAATACACCCTCAATCTCCGAGGAAGGCAATGGAAAATCTCTCCAAACAAATCATACATGGAAAACCCCAGGATAGGTCTGCCTTAGGGTCAGGTTGGAAATGATTCAAAGACACACAATACTCATAATACTAAGTGGTAATTGTTACTCCAAAATCACATTGATGAGTATTTGGTGATTACAATAATATGACAGTTACGGAAAATGTTAATATAGGTAATCAATTTTCAATGAATTAGGTTAATCAGTCAATTGAAACACAAGAGGCTTCAGCTGGGAACCAGATGGGCAGAGGAAAAGCCCAGCTCTCCTACTTCAGTCAATTTGGGCAAAACATCTTATAGTTGAGTCACCATTGTGGAAGGAGCCCCCAGTGGCGCAATGGGTTAAACCCTTGTTGGCTGAACTGCTGACTGACAGGTCGGCGGTTTGAATCCAGGGAGCAGGGTGAGCTCCTGTGTGTCAGCTCCAGCTTCCAATATGGGGACATGAGAGAAGCCTCCCACAGGATGGTAAAACATCTGGGCGTCCCCTGGGCAATGTCGTTGCAGATGGCCAATTCTCTCACACCAGAAGTGACTTGCAGTTTCTCAAGTCACTCCTGACATGGAAAAAAAAACATTGTGGAAATCATGGCTAGCAGGCATCCCGTTAGTGATGTATGCAGGCACAAGTCTATCTTATGCTTGTGTACGTCTTTTTTTTAAAAACCTGTTGCAGAAGTTGGTATTTTTTCCACTCTCTACAATCACCAATTTGCTGCACCCCCAGGGTTCACAGTTTTGTTGTGGTAGTGGCCAGTGGCCAGGAGTAAACAAGTGGAAGGAGACAACAGCCAGACACTTCTCTGGTCCCTCGGCTCTCTATTAGCCAACAAATAATTGGTGGTCTACAGTGATTAAACAGTGGGTCTGAATGAAGGGGTTGAAAGGAAAGATGTATGCCTGCAGAACTATTACACTAGGGCAGCCTGTATCTTCTCTCTTTGATCTATGCCATAGTGGAGGTCAAGTCCATCTAAAGCACTGCTGATATTTTCATGCCGCTCAGTAAAGATAAAAAAAACACAAACTGTCCGGGGCTCTGTTTCTTTATGCTCACTGCATGCATGAACAAATACTTGGGTGAGTGGAGTATTTTTTTTCCTGAAAGGAATGCCTCTCTTACTTTCTTTTCAAGCTGCTGAAAAGAAGCTTGGAAGTATTCATTTGTATCAGGAATGTTGTCTCTCTGATCTAGACTGAGGATGTCAGTTTCTGAGCTTTGGTTGGCTCTACAATGTGGAATTACTACAGTTTGACAATCTGTAACTGCCATGATTCATTACTATGGAATCCTGGGCTCCATAGTCTTGTCAGAGAGGTAAAAGTAAAGGTTTCTCCTGACGTTAAGTCTAGTCTTGTTCGACTCTGGGGGGTGGTGCTCATCTCCTTTTCTAAGCTGAAGAGCCGGTGTTGTCTGTAGGCACCTCCAAGGTAATGTGGCCAGCATGACTTCATGGAGCGTTGTTACCTTCCAGCAGAAGCAGTACATATTGTTCTACTGAGATTTGCATGTTTTCAAACTGCTAGGTTGGTAGAAGCTGGGCCTAACAGTGGAAGCTCACCCCATTACCCGGATTCGAACCGACAACGTTTTGGTCAGCAAGATCAGCAGCTCAGTGGTTTAACCTCCTGCATCACTAGGGTGCCTTTCCTTGTCAGAGAAGGCCTTGTAAAACTCCCAAGACCTGGTTAACCACCCATTGATTCTAGAGCATTGAGCCATGGCGGGTAAAATGGTGTCGATCTACATTAATTCTACAGTGTGGATGCATCCTAAGGCTCCTATGTTATGGACAGAATTTGGAGAAATTGGGACTTTGATATAAATCTCTTGGTATAACTATGCCAGCATGTCATATGTATCATAAGGAAGCGGGAGCAGGCTTGTCATGATTCCTACAAAGTGCCTGAGAGTAGAAAGTTTGCACAACCTAAAATTGGGAAGTTCTCCTCTAAGTCTTACCTGCACAATGTCTCTCTCAGCATAGCGTCCCCTGGAGGAGACCCGCACTTCATCACCGTCCAGCTCTTCCATGGCTGAGGATGATACAATAATATTTATATCAACCTCTGCCACCTTTACCCAAGCATATAAGAAAGAATTTCAAACACCTATTCCCTTGTGCATCCCAACTTCATCTCATTGCTCAGGTGCGAATGGTCAAGGAGAGGACTACCTCCTTGACCATTGAGAGGTTATCATGACCCTTGAGAGATTTCCGATGGCACCAAGCTCACCAATCTGGATCTTCAGACTTCTATCCTTACTGGCCCCATAAAATGTCTACGTAAGGGCAAAACTTACCTCCAAACTCTGCAGGGCCTACCCCTACGATGATGATGGACATAGGCAGAGAGGAGGCCTGTGGGGAGAATGGTACTGTTTCAGAGGTGGCTTACAAAATACTGGGTTCTGTATGCAAACATCTGCTTCCTTTTCAGGATGTACTCTTCTACAGAGCTGACCTAAAATAGGCAGTTAATTGCCGTCTCCTGTCTCAGTGGTTCTCAACCTGTGGGTCCCAAGTGTTTTGGCCCACAACTCCCAGAAATCTTAATCACTTCACCAGCTGTTAGGATTTCTGGAAGTTGAAGGCCAAAACATCTGGGGACCCACAGGTGGAGAACCACTGATCCTATGTGAAGGTTCATACCCAATGCCAGTTTAAAATTATTTTTTGCATCTCAAGCTGAAATCTCACCACCATTTCTTTCTGCCATTAGTAGTATTGTAGTTGGCAAAAGTTGTACATGTGGCTGGTTGGTTACATGTAGAACCCCAAGCTCCAAAACATGCCTCCAGCAAAAATTATTTGGACATGAACCTTTCCAGTAGATGAAAAGGCTGTGTACATTTGCATTTTGTTTCAAAGTTGACAAAAACTCTTCAAAGTGCAAATTGTTTGAAAACAGGGCATATACATTTTATTTCAAAACAGAAATAATATTTTATTATATTTTCCAAGTAGTTGCCATATAGTTAATTTTTGTTGGCCTGGAGGAAATGAGTGTCTCCAACAAGTTGATGGCTCATGATTTAGGCTAGTGGTTCTCAACTTGTGGTTGGCCTACAACTCCCAGAAATCCCAGTTTACCAGCTGTTAGGATTTTTGGGAGTTGAAGGCCAAAACATCCGGGGACCCACAGGTTGAGAACCACTGATTTAGGCCAAGGCATACATTGCAGGGAGCCATAGTATGGGCAGAGCTGTTTTGGGTCTTGCCCAAGAGAGAAAAGTGGGGTATTAATAATGATGACTATGGTTATGATGTTAAGCAAAGTACATCTCTCATAGGTAAAACACCATATTCTTGTCAGTGTAACATATTTTACTGTGTAATAGTCACACTTTTTATCCCTTTTTCAGTTAAAGAAAGGGGAGTGTGACTAAAGCGCAGTGAAAACATTCCAATTTGGGGGCTTCATTCAGCTGGCAGCTGAGTGAAGCCCTGCAGTTGCTAAGGTAGCATGTACACGGGTGAGTGAAACTTCACTAGCCCACGTGCCTGACCCTTGGAACTATAAGGTTTCACTCGTCTGGCAGCTAAGTGAAGCCCCATAGCTCTAAGGGAGAAGGCATGTGGGTGAGTGAATGAAGGGTGTGACTATTACATGAGAAATACTAAAATGCCAATTTTGTCACCCTCAAAACGGGGGTGTGATTATTTTGTGAGGAAAATACAGTATTTTACTTAGTGTACATTACCATCCTGTTCAAGGTGGGGCTATGTGTTTGTAAAATGTTCACTGTTTTGTGTTTTGTTTACACTGTAAGTTGTTAATGTATGTAAATAAAATCTAAAAAAAACAATAGTTACTCAGATCACTACGAAATCCCCTTCAAATTATTATTATTATTATTATTATTATTATTATTATTATTATTATTATTATCCTACTTTGCATCGGTTGTATGGCGGAAAGCGGTCCATTTTCTGGTAAGCAGAGCACAGATTAATGGTATTTTTATCGTGTGTGTGGCATCTTGGACCAAAAGAGGTTAATTAGTTAAGCGTATCCAATAATAAAAGGTTATCTTCCTTGACCATCTCAAGGATTTGGTATCCATTATATCTTCACAAACATAATGTAAGAAAGATGGTTGTCGTCTGCAGGGTTGAGGTGGTATAGGAAGAAGAAGTGACTACAAACCAGGCCACAGTGAGTAAGCAATCCATCAGGATAAGGGCACATAATTCCAAGAAAACATAATTTCAACATGTGTTCAACCTAGCTTGTGGATGAAAGTTAGGATATTGGTTACACCCTCTACCTGCCACACACAATCTCAATAAGGCAACATAACTAAACCAGGAAATTGCAACTGGATGGCCCACCAAAAGGGTCTACCTCCAGCAGCAAACCAAGAATGTGCAACTTGGAAGTCCTTGAACACTCAGAAGTGGAGTGGACAGACTAAAACCTTTGTAAAATGGCACTACCTAGAAGAATCCTACACCTTGTGTGACTGTGGAGCAGAACAGACAACTCCGCATCTGTATACTTGCCCACAAAGCTCTGCCTCATGCATAAAAGAAGAATTGTTTAAAGCCACAGACAATGCTGTCACTATTGCCCGTTTTTGGTCTAAAATTATTTAGCCCCTTGTGCTCCCTTTATTTTATCAATTTTATCAGTTTTATACTTATTTATGCAATGATTTTGACATGAAATAAAAAATACAACATAACTTTCTCTATAATGCAAACTTTAATGTCTGTGTCACCACCATATACAAAGGTTGAATGAAAAGTAATGCCTCCACATTCGTAACTCCTCAACAGATGGCAGTACTGGTATGCGGCAGGTACTGGCTTGTTCACTAGACTCTCCTCTACAGTTCCATTTTGGTGGGAAGCCTTAGCATTGAATGGTTGTGTTGTTAAAGTGCAAAGTATGGAACCCTGTGCAGACGGTCAGTCAATGAAACTTAAGCAACGTGCAGTCATTGAATTCTTGACAGTAGAAGGTGTCACCCCAAAGGAGATCCATCAGAGAATGCAAACTGTTATGGTGATTGCGTTGATGTGAGTACTGTGCATCGTTGGGTGTGTAAGTTTAAAGAAGTTGAGGTGCGAACATCTGACTTGCGTGACAAACGAAGAATTGGACGTCCTGTGAAAGCAACCAATGAGTTTCACAAGCAAAAGGTTGACTGATTGATTCAGGACAATCAGCGTATCACTCAAAGAGAAATTTCAAGCATCATCGGCATTTCACAATAACGTGTTGGTCACATTATTGTTGTGCTTGGCTATCGGAAGATCTGTGCACTATGGGTTGCGGAAACAGAGGGTCGACTTCTTCCATGATGGCTTCAGAAAACTCGTTCATCGTTGGCAGAAATGTATCCAACCAGTGATTATGTGGAAAAGTGAATAGTGGTAGTTAAAGAGCACATTCTAAGGGCTATTTCTGCGTTTGATTTATTAAAATATTCCCATCCAAACACAAGTAACGAAGGTGGAGGCATTACTTTTCATTCAACCCTCATATGTGTGTGTGTGTGTGTGTGTGTGTATTGAAAACAAGATTGGGACTCCTAAGAGAGGTCATGGGGGCACCTTTCTATATTACAGTTCTTTAAATATACACTGGTGATCATTGAAAAAAAAGAGTCACAGGCATTTGGAGTGACATCTAGAACTGGGGATTCAAGATGTTTCCATGATGTCTCTGAACCTGATGGCTCTTCCTTTCTCCCATCCTACTACTCCCATCTCATGTTAGGAGGAAGATCCAACTCACGCTGACAATTGCTTCCTTCGTTTGCAGCATGTCAGAGATGACTCCGTCTGTGATGATAAGAAGAACATAATACTGGGACCCATCAGTAATCTCAGCAGCCAAACTGGGATGGAGAAAGAGGGAAAAAAGACCACAATGGGAAGCTGCCTTAGACTAAGTCGACCTATGTCAGCCAGTCTTGTTGACACTGACTGGCAGCTGTTCTCCAAGCAGAATATCTCTCTAGTTCTATTGTAATGTAAATATCTGATATGCAGGATGGATTTTCCTTCACTGGACCAAATTTGACACAAATACCCAATATGTCCAAATTTGAATACTAGTGGGGTTGGGGGGGGGGGGGTTGATTTTGTTTCATTTGGGAGCTGTAGTTGCTGGGATTTATAGTTCACCTACAATCAAAGAGCATTTTGAACTCCACCAACGATGGAATTGAACCAAACCTGGCACAAGGAACTCCCATGACCAACAAGAAAATACTGTAAGGGTTTGGTGGGCATTGACCTTGAGTTTTGGAGCTGTAGTTCACCTACATCTAGAGAGCACTGTGGATGCAAACAATGATGGATCTGGACCAAACTTGGCAGGAAACTTCAATATGCCCAAATGTGAACACTGGTGGAGTTTGGAGAAAATTGACCTTGATATTTGGGAGTTGTAATTGCTGGGAGTTTATAGTTCATCTACAATCAAAGAGCATTTTGAACCCACTGATAGAATTGGGCCAAACTTCCCACACAGAACCCCCATGACCAACAGAAAATACTTAGTTTCTTCTCCCAAGCCATTGAAATATTTGCTCCTTAAATTAAGATATCTAAGTGTCGCATGAATTGTAATGCAGATCTTATTAGATTGCAACTCCCATCAGTGCAATCAGTCATAAAGGATGATAGGTATTGCATCCATTCACTTGTCCTAATAAGAGTAGTTCTTCCACCTCCTCCTAGTGCCATGCTTTCTGTTTCATATGCTGCTGTGACCTATGTATTGATAAAGGCACTGTCCTTGCCTGTGAGGAAATGCCAATAATTTAGCCAGACTGGACAGCTCTGACGGTAAACATTATTTTTTCTAGGTTTAGTGATACTAACTTTGCTGGCTCTGGACAAGTCCTAGATCAAAATTGTTCTGTTTCTAGGTAACACCATGAGCTTCTGAGAGGGAGAACCTAAGAAAGATTTTCTCTGAACTTCTTTCCTGCTCTTCACTTACCGGGCAACTTGGTTGATGACAGGCGCAAAGTTGGTTGGTCCATATAACTGCACAGTACGCAAGCTTTGGAAATACGATTCCAAAACCCCCTCAATACCCTCACAGTTGGGGTTGTCAGGGTTGTTATTCTGTGGAGAGAAGGGTGCAGCTGAGTGAACACAAGAGGATATGTCTGTGTTACTTTGACCCGAGCCCTTGGGAGATACATACTTGAGCATCTAAAACACCTTCAGAATTATGGGGGGGGGGGGGGGGGGACCAACAGCAGTAGCAACAGGTCGGATTTAAGACTTAGCGTGGAATTGCAATGTTTCATTGTTGGAAATAGCAGCCTCCCAATCCTTTCACTATTGATTTGATAATGTATATTTTTGCTAACCTGGGCTGGAGGTTTAGCACATCACCAGCAACTATAAGATCCATCAACCAAAAGGTTGCAAGTTTGAAGCCCCAGGTCGGTGTGAGCAGTCAACTGTCAGCCCTGCTCACTGTTTACCTAAGCCAGGGGTTCTGAAACTAYGGCCCGTGGGCCACTTCCGGCCCGCCAAGGACACTTATCCGGCCCGCGGAGGAAGAGCGCCCCCCCCCACACAGTGCCCCTCCCTTGGCTGGCTTACGCTATCCGTCAGGCCCGATGGGCAGCGTGAGACAGCCAAGGGCAGCTGCTCCGYGCGGCCTACTCGCGTATAAAGCACCTCGTGAGGTGCTTTACGTGAAAGTAGGGCGCACGGTGCTGCTCCTCCCTTGGCAGGCTCAAGCTGCTCATCGGGCCCGATGGGCAGCGTGAGCCAGCCAAGGGCAGCTGCTCAGCGAGGCCTACTCGCACATAAAGCACCTCKTGAGGTGCTTTACTCAAGTGTAGGCTGCGCAGTGCTGCTSCTCCCTTGGCAGGCTCACACTGCCCATCGAGCCCGATGGGCAGCGTGAGCCAGCCAAGGGAGGCTGCCCYGGCGCTCCATGCAGTCATGCCGGCCACATGACCTTGGAGGTGTCTACGGACAATGCCGGCTCTTCGACTTAGAAATGCAGATGAGCACCAACCCCCAAAGTCAGACACGACTGGACTTCATGTCAGAGGAAAACCTTTAACTAGGAAAATTGTGGAAGATCCAGGGTAGGAGAAAGAACTCTTGTCTGTTGGAGTTAGGTATGGATGTTTCAATTGGCCACCTTGATTACCATTTCATAGCCTGACAGTTTTTAGGGAGAATCCTTTGCTGAGAGGAGATTAGCTGGCCCTGATTGTTTCTTGTCTGGAGTTCCCCTGTGTTTGAGTGTTGTTCTTTATTTACAGTTATAATTTTAGAGTTTTTTTAATACTGGTAGCCAGATTTTGTTCAGACTAGAAATAGGAAGATTTCCCATTCTCTGCTCCTGGAATTACTGCCTAAAGAGGGCTAGGAAAAACCCCTCTAAGGACCCTTCCACACAGCAAAATAAGATATGTGCAATGTGCATAGGAATTTTTTATTGATTTTTTTAATTAAAAAAAACTATAATCCGGCCCTCCAACGGTCTGAGGAACAGTAAACTGGCCCCCAGTTCAAAAGGTTTGAGGACCCCTGACCTAAGCGGTCAAAAACAGCTTTAGCTGTAATTAGTGAAATTAGGTACCGCTAAAAGCGTGGGAGGTGTTTACAGCTCTTCGTCATAGAGAATGGAGCAAGAGCACCCCTTGTGGCTGGACTCACCTTCCTTGGCACCAAAAACAGTTGGACAATGCCTCCTTTCTGTTCTGTCTGTGTATTGTCTATACAAAGTGGCATTAAATGTTTGCCGTGTATGTGTGTGCTGTGATCCTCCCTGGATCCCCTTTGGGGTGAGAAGGGCGGAATATAAATAAAGTGTTGTTGTTGTTGTTGGTTGTTGGTTGTTAGGGTCATGTGCCAGTTTGACTTACCCCTTTGGTGTGGGAGGGGTTATAGACATGTGATTGTACTGAGCTTGTTCAAACTAAGGACTCCATTTTGTATTCAGTCTGCTGAACACCTCACTGGAGGTGTATGTGTTTGCTTCCCACCTCAGTGGAGGTGGAACTATGTGTTTGGACTTTAATGGATGCATGTATACTTATGGACTTGAGTGAGTACAACTATACCTAAAGACTATGGACTATTGATTAAGTATCATACCCTGTGCACTCAACACACAGAAGAAACTTCATCCTATTTATAACTAAGCTTTAATAAGAAATGTGCCTGTATGGTGAATTAACACAAGTTGTTTGTGAGTAAACAAGATACGTTATTTATTCAACCAAAGAAGACTTTGTTTTTTAATCTCTGAGTGCATATTTTAAGCTAAGAGGTTTCATGGGAGTGTATATCTTTTGGGCAACCACAACTGCAAATCCCACTTCAAAGAACCATCCTCTGCTAACATGTAGTGTAGTGGCATGCCTTTATTCTTGGCAGTTTAAAGACATGGTTCTTCAGTTTAACAGCTGAGTTGCCTGTGTGCCATTACATGAATGCTTATGAATATAACTTGTTCAGAGGGTTGACTTCTAACAAGGTCAAGGACTAGTGGTTTTCAAAATGTGGTCTCCACCTATTCATGAAGATTCACATTTGCCAAATGGATATGAGATCGTTTTTACCTTTTCAATAAGGTTATGGTGCAGTTATTTCCAATAGGTTATGGAATTTTCAATATTTACTCATTTACTTTCTATAAGGTATCTACATGTCACCATCACTGTCATTCTATATATTCGGTGGTCCTATTTTCTTTTCAGAAGAATGAATGAATCACCACAGAATTAGAAACCTTTAGGACTACACTTTTAATTTTTTTTAAAGAGCGGGGTTTGACATGGATAGTTGGCATATTAGAAAAAACAGTTCTGATCATTATGATCCATATATAAAAGGCCAGGAACTTGCCTTGAGGGTCCCACCCCCAACCAAAAAGAAAGTCAAGCCCCACCTACCAAAGGGAATTGGTGGGAAACTTTTCCATCTGGTGGGACTTTGGCTCCAAAACCATAGGCGGGGAAAAGTTTGTCACTGTCGTAATCCTGGATGATTTCGCCCACAGCCTTCAGTGCCATGGCATAGGAGCTGAGTTGATACGGGCTCATGTAATGGAGGGAGGTGGGCTGTGAAGGAATTCCTGTGTGAAAAGGCATTCTGTCAGGCTTCAAAATCCTGCATCTGCCCCACCTTGCTCACCCCAGCCATTTAGTTCTGGGACTTCTCATACATATTACATGCACAACATTAAGAAACCTCTTAAAACGACATCTTTCCCTTCAACATAACTTGATTGTGCCTCTCCTCCCCTCCACTAGGTTTGGGACCTGCCTACCTTCGCAACCGCATCTTCAAGGACGAACCTGCATGATCACTAAGATCTGGGGAGGCTCTTCTCTTGCTCCCACTCCCACCACAAGCATGGTTGGTGAGGATGAGAGAGAGGGGCTTCTTGGTGGTGACCCCCCGGCTTTGGAACGCCCTCCCCAGGGAGATTAGGCTAGCACCCACCCTGTCCCTCTTCCACAAAGATCTAAAAATGTGGATGTTTTGCTGTGCTTTTGATTAGATAATCCCCCAGATAATCTTGGCTCCAAACAGGACCCAAAACCTCATCCTCAAACTTTACTACTGTTCTGTACCCAAAGTTATAATGCTCCATCTAACCCTTATAATACCCTCTATCCCTAATGTTGCCATTTGACTTACGCACTTTATCCATCAGCCCTATCCTTACAATTGAGTTGCACCAGTCTGCACGGGGAGTTGCACTACCCGTGTCCAGAAATTGTTTATTATTGCAGGTTCATTGGTTGTTTGTTTGATGGTTGATCTTATATTTTGTTATGATATTGTTGTTTTGTATTTTAAATGGTGTGTTATATTTTTAACTGTGTTTGTTCGGGCTCATCCCCATGTAAGCCACCCCGAGTCCCTCCAGGGAGATGAAGATGGGGTATAAAAATAAAGTTGTTGTTGTTGCTATTGTTGTTGTTGCTATATACCACTAGCCATCCCCTGCCACATGTTGCTGTGGCCCAGTCTGTGTGTATGTGTTTTGTGTGTGTATATATGTGTATATGTGTGTGTGTGTACTTGTGTATATGTGTATATAAGGGTGTTTGCTTATATATGTGGTTTTGTGCATGCATTGTAATGTATTTTTTATTTTTTGGCTTTTAAAGTCTCTTCTGCTGTGTTTTCCAGTGTTTTTATGAGAGGTTGGCCTGAGAGGTGTCTTGTGTCCAAATTTGGTGTGACTTCGCCCAGTGGTTTTTGAGTTCTTTTAATCCCACAAACGAACATTATGTTAATCCCACAAACAAACATTACATTTTAATATATATAGATTGTGGGTCTTCCTATCTCCCTCATTATCTTCCTCTACCCCTTTATAACTCCTGTTTCATCCACATCTATTGTGCCTCAGCCTTACATTTATTTTCCCAAAGGTTAATTCCACTCCTCTTTGGTTCCCCATGTCCAGTGTGATGAAGGCCAATATCCAGCACTTAAGAGATACCCAAATTAGGCATTCCCAAAGAGGACCTCATCCTGTGGCCACAGACCCTTGGATGCTGGTTTCTGGCTACCATTTTCCCCTTATCGATTCAAAGGTGTGTCACACTTACCATTGGAGGCTGTGAAATCAATGGCAACTGTGAAATTCAACTGGGTCCTAAGAGTCGGGGATAAGGTGGATAAAAGAAAGAAAAAGAGACAGTCATTCTCTTGAATTTCCTAAACTGCCTTCAGTTCTGTCTCCACCCCACCAGCAGTCCTCCTCAGCCTTCCGCCAATGTCCTCAAGAAGAGCAGCCGCATCCTTAAGATCGCTACCAATCCTCAGGTTTTTCAATTTCCAGTGCTTCACACACTGCCTTGTTCTACTCATCCTTGTATTTACCACCCTCCTTACAGCCTTGCTCTAGGGCAGAGCTTTCCAAACATTTCATGTTGGTGACATACATTTTAGACATGGATCATTTCATGGCACAGCAATTCAGTTTTAGTAGCAAACCAAAGGTTAAGCCAACCCCCTATAAGAGATATGGACACATACATACATTGTTATACAATGTATGTATAAGAGATATAGACACATGCATACAGACTGTCCTGGTCTACTCATATTGCTTTGATTATCCACAAAGCTCAAGTAGGCAGTTCAGCCATTTTGCATTTCATCGCTACTAAAAGGGGGCAGTTCTTACCTTCGGCAACTAAAGTCTTTAACGCCAAGATAGCTTCCAGTATCTGGATTAGGGGTCTAACATCAAAAATAGACCAACAAGATCCCTTTTCGGCTCCCCAGATGTGTACCATCCTGTATCTTACTACTTGAATCCAGGGAAGCACCCCTGTCAATAAGAGCCTGGTGGTGGGCATTTAAATATTGGCTCAAGATCAGAGTTTTTAGTTTAGGATCCGGTTTGATTAAACATTTATTTATTTATTTACCACACTTTTATCCCACCCTTTTCAGCCCAAAGGCAACTCAGGGCAGTGTACAGACTGGCAACAATTAGATGCCGAACACACGTAAATACATGGTTTAAAACAGGTTAAATCACATAATAAAATTCATATAAAAACAAATTAAAACTATAAAAATCAATGAGTTCAGGATGAGTACATAAGCACTTGGTTTAAGATCAATTCTAAGAAAGCCTCCTCCATCAGCCTTTCTACATCCCTCCTAACTCATCTGGGTTTTGACATAGCTCTCAAATCAATCAAACAGACTGTAGGACATTGCCTTTTGTGATCTGCACTCTCGCTCTTATATATCTTGCTCCCGAAGTGCCTTGTCCATACATTATGTTGGGCCTTTTCATGCAGCAAACTATCTAAACAACTTGATGGTAGCCAAATATCACTGCCTATTTTCCAAAGCAAGGTGCAATGTTCTCAGTCTGAATTGCTGCGTGGGAGATTTGCAGGTACCCCATATAATGAAAGACTCTGCCCATGTAACAAACAGGAAGTAGAATGCATCTACCACATTCTACTGTCATGCAGGCCCAAGCACACATAATCCACCCCTTACTAAGAAACTTACCAGCAAGTCCAGTGAAATTTTATGTGAAGTTTCTACTTAGTGACAACTTTCCCCATATGACCTTGGTGGTTGCCAAGTTTCTTTCTGAGGCAGCCAGAATTAGACAATTCCTAATTTTAGACACAGGCTGAAACATGCCAGCACTTCTTGTAGTCTTTTACCTATGTTTTTAGCCAACATGTATTTTAAGAAGTTTTTAACTGTTATCAATTTTATCCATTTGTGTGTTTAATCAACCGAATGTTCTCAATCTCATTACCTGCATACCTTGTACACCTATGGTGCAATAAATGTCTTTGGACCATAATAAAATGTCGTTGTTATTGTTGTTGTTATTATTATAATGTTATAATTATTTTCACAAATATATTATTTATTGCTTATTTCACATAGACTCAGCCAGCTCCACTAGCTACCACTCTGCTACTGACCCCAATTTAGCCTATAAAGCCCTAAACAGTTACAGCCCAGTTTACCTGTCCGAACATATCTCCTTCTACGAACCATCAAGGATGTTAAGATCATCTGGGGAGGCCCTACTCTCAGTCCCACCACCTTGACTATGATTCTGAACTGGCTGAACTTTTTTGAAATGGAATGTTTGTAACTGTTTCTAATTGCTGTTTTAATTGTAACTGTATATTTTAATGTATATGTTTGGCATCTAATGGTTGCCTGTTGTAAAGCTGCCCTGTCCGGGGATAAGGACAGGGTACAAATATATAAATATGTGAAATGAATAAATAAATTTCTTGGTATGTTTGCGTGACACGTATATACACTACAGCTGACACACTAACATGTTGTCGGACTCATATTTGGAAGCTCTCTTCTAGGCCAATGCCATAGGAACAGTGAAGGCTGGACAGGGCTGTGGGCCTCTAGCAAAAGGGACCTGGGTGGCATGCTCTTTGAGTGACGCACCCGCCTCGAATGTAATCCACGAAGGTATACTCCGACTGCACCGCGAATGACAGGAGGGTGACCTGACAGGAACAGAAAAGGGGAGGGGACACAATAGCACAAATATTAGTTTTTCTGTAGTTCCATGGCTCAAAACGAATTATTTTTATTTATGTATGAAAAATATAAACCACCCTTGAACCAGGTGCCTACAGATGTAAATGACAGTCACACCACAAGTGGAATGAAATTGTCCTTCATCAGTTTACAACTGTGATGTAATTAGTTATGGAAAAAGAGCAAGTAATTGCAAATAACTGGTCACATCAAAGCTCCGTGTGAGATAATGTGGATAAATGATGCGGCTGCATGGATGGAGAGACAATTTTCAGGATCGTCCCTGTTTTGGAGCGGCATCCTCGCATTGAAGCAAGAGCCCAGAGGATGCGATGGTGAGCCATGCTAATATGATTATCTGTTACAGAAGCAAGTAATTCAATTTCTAGAACAACAAATTACAGCATAGCTTGAGAGAAAAGTTGGAGTGCACGGCAGAGAAAGATCTACCATCCCATTATAAGCTCCAGATGGTTCCTTCCTAGGCATGCATTTTCTCGTGATGTAGAAGGAGAAAAGAGTCACACTTACAGTGCCCGAGTTAATGTATTTCTTTTTCTTGCATTTCTTCCTAGGATTTGAAACCTGGTGTTGGAGCAGAAGAATAACAGATGAGTCTTCTCTATCCCTGAGTCCACAGCTGCCATTTGGCTTCCCAACAGCCTCTACCCAAACTCACATGGCTTCCTCTGTGTGGCCCCTATTTGCTCATCCCAGCTGGAAAGGGTTTGGGAAAGAGAGAAAGAGAGAGGCTAATCCAACTCCATGTGCAAAGGCATATGCCTTTTTATTCGAAAGGCTATCTGTGGACGCCATATTCCTTTTCTGTGGACTAGTGTGGAAGCAACCACTATAAGATTTGAAAATAAGTCTTAGAAAAATTACTTTTATTGGACTAATTCATCCCCAAACCCAAACTGACTATTTTTTGGGAAATTCTGAGAATTGCAGTTGGAAGAGGAAGTTTTCCAGACTCTGGACAAAATTTTACCTGAGGTGAAACTTAGCCAGGAAATAAGTATATTGCTAATAATTATTATACCTCCATGCACCTGCTCTGTAACAGTGAAGCCCTGTTTTCTTGATTATGACAGATCTATTTTCTTGTAAAGAATCATATCAATCAGGGTTTATGTCCTCAACAAAACCATGATGATCTGAAAACGTGCATACCACTGAACACCATTCAGCTGCCACACTATTTACTCCCTTGTTAAACCATTGTTAAACCATTGAATCTGCTGGCCTAAAGGTTCAAAGCTGCAGGTTGAGGTAAACTCCCACGGTTAGCCCTAGCTCCTGCCAACCTAGCAGTTCAAAAACATGCAAATGTGAGTAGATTAATAGGTACCGCTTTGGTAGGAAGGTAATAAAGGCGCCCATACAACCATGCTGGCAACACAACCAGGAGGTGTCTATGGAAAACAGGTTCCTCGGCTTGGAAATGGAACAAGAGCACCTCCCCATGGCCAGAGTTGAGCACCGCCTCCAGGAAGCCGGAGATGAAAGGGGAAGCCTTTATCTTTCTTCTTTGTATTTGTATCTCATTGTTTTTCCACTGTATTAAAGGCACAGAATGTTTGCCTATCTGTGTATGTTGAATCTGCTCTATCGGGGAGATAGAGCGGAATATAAATAAAGTGTTGTTGTTATTGTTATTATGTTTTTATTGTATTTTAATTATATTGAGTGTCACCATACAAGATCTATACGTCAATTATTTATAGTTGTACTTTTATATTTGTTGTTTTTAACCACTGTTCACTGCTTTGAGTCTCTTTAAGATAAAGAAGCAGTATATCAATATAATAATAATAATAATAATAATAATAATAATTTATTTTGCTAGTGAATGGCCTATGATCAAAGCATTAATAAACTACATTAAATTACCCGACTTTCAGTTCTAGAATAGCATAGAGATGGTTGGAGAAGCTAGAGCAGTGGTTCTCAACCTGTGGGTCCCCAGATGTTTTGGCCTTCAGCTCCCAGAAATCCTAGCCAGTTTACCAGCTGTTAGGATTTCTGAGGGCCAAAACATCTGGGGACCCACAGGTTGATAACTACTGAGTTAAGAGATTGCTAAGTCCAACTCTGTGTTAACTTCTGGGAAAATTTCATAGCATAGAATTGCTTTTAGGACCTAGCAATTTTTTTAAATGACAATTTCCCCAAGAACAGATTAAAAATGACCAAGAATGGAAGGAGTTTTCTAATTCCCATCAGTCCCTGACAGCTTTGATGATGGGATTCAAAATTCATTGATTCTTAGAATGTTACAAGTTGCCTATATTTCTCAAGGGACTGGATCTGGGAAGTATAGATGCAATATTTGCTTTGCCACTCAACTGTGGTCCTTTGATAAACAGATATCAGCAAGCATGCAATTAAAGATTATCACTTGCTAATTACTAAGCATTACATTGCTGTTAAATTGACATCAAAAGGGAGCATCTCAAAAGCTGGCAAGTGTAACTGAAGTAGATTGAAAAGGACAAGGAGCTCTGAAATGTTTTTTAAAAATCTCCCTTACTATTGGAGGCTACACCCAGAGCCTGTTTTAGAAAGGACCTTTTAAAAGATAGGGCTCTCTTATTATCAGTAGGCTTCTTTCCATGCCAGCAAGGTTGGTTTCTTGTATGCATGTATTAGAAGTATGCAACAAACTCAATTGTGTGATATATTCCAGATTTCAACCGAAAAGAGCTTACCTCATAGACTGTGAACTGGCTCTGAGCACGAGAGAGTTCTCTGTAGCTTGTGGCAAACTCTCCAATGAAATCGTGGCTGCAGGGCAGAAAGAGAAAGAAGCAGGGGAGCAGATCAGTCGTTGCATGACACAATTCACTTTAGTTGCCCTGGCTTCATGCTATGGAATCATGGGAGCTGTAGGCTGGATCTACACTACCATATAATCCAGTTTCAGAATGCAGATTAACTGCTTTGAACTGGGTTATATGAGTCCACACTGTCATACAACCCAATTCAATGCAGTTAATTGGCATTCAGGAGCTTGATTATATGGCAGTGTAGATGGGGTCAAAGTCTTATGAATTCTTTATTCTTCTCTATCAAAGAGTGTTGGTTATTTTATGATTCCCAGTAACCCATATATTTACTACTACTACTACTACTACTACTACTACTAATAATAATAATAATAATAATTATAATAATAATAGACTCTGGCACAAACCAGTAAAGGTGGTCCCAGTGGTGATTGGCAAGGGTGCAGTGCCTAAAGACCTTGGCCTGCACTTAAACACAATCAGCGCTGACAATCTACCAGCTGCAAAAGGCCACCTTACTGGGATCTGCACGCATTATTCGCCGATGCATCACACAGTCCTAGACACTTGGGAAGTGTCCGACATGTGTGGTCCGGACATTGTTGGGGGGGGGGCCCCAATACAAACAAAAGCCAGTAGAGGTTGTTCTGCTTGTAGAACTCTCTTTGTGTGTTTCAAAAAATAATAATGGAATTGGGGTGGGGGGAACCATTAAAAAAACTGGACAGAAAGGAGAGGAGAAAAGCATCCTAACTAAAGGCAAAAAAAAAAAATATTGTGGGGGAACTTTTCGGAAATCCAGGGGGGGACTGACAAAAGTTATGGTTTCCAAAAAACCACTACAAAGATTGCAAGGAAGATGTGGTGGAAAAGGAAAAAAAAAGTTTGGGGACTACTTAGTAAGATTATCTCAATTTAAGCATTTCACCAACAATGAGATGCCTCCTAAACACCAAGATGTATAACAGGAAAAAAACTTTTTCTAAAAAAAAACTGTAATGAAAATAATCTATAATCATAAAGATGGCCTGTGTATTGCCCAAAAAGGCTCTCCAGGGTGATACAAGGTGTTTTTTTTTCCAAAAGTTCTAGGAAAATCAGGGGGTTTTTTAAGATAGTAGTAGTAGTAGTAGTAGTAGTAGCAGTAAAGAAATAGAAAGGCATGAAGTGACAAAACCAAAGTTAAAAAATCATGGGAGGAGTGAAAGCTCTAAAAGTACTAATACTGCTTTAAATAAACTCAATGGTAAAAAATGAGGAGAAAAATGAAAAAGTAATTCTATAAAAAAGGCGCCGACAACAAAGAGATCTCTTGTTTTGTTTTGTTTTTTTGAGCCCCCGGTGGCGCAGTGGGTAAAACCCCTGTGCCGGTAGGACTGAAGACCGACAGGTCGCAGGTTCGAATCCGGGAGAGGAGGATGAGCTCCCTCTATCAGCTCCAGCTCCTCATGCGGGGACATGAGAGAAGCCTCCCACAAGGATGATAAAAAAAAACATCAAAAAATCATCCAGGCGTCCCCTGGGCAACGTCCTTGCAGACGGCCAATTCTCTCACACCAGGAGTCACTCCTGACACGACAAAAAAAAAAAAAAAAACTGTCTGCATGCCCTTGCAGTTTAAGTTGTAGTCATCACAGTAAGACCTGAATAGGTCTGTTGTTGACAGGGTGACCTGAAGGTCACCATAAGTCAAAGTGAACTTGACAGCACTTAACCAAGAATGACTGGCTTCACTCCAAATGTTACCAATGGTCAGAGGACTGCCATTTTCCAGATCTCTTGCCAACAAGTCACTTAACATGAAAGTGAAGGAACATGTGAGCGAGAAAGGATATCTCTCCCAAAATCTCAAATCTCACATGATTTGCGTGCAGGCACCATAACATGTAACCTCTGCAGCCAAGTCCATATCGACACTCACCTGTCATAGTCTCCATTGCACAGGGCACGAACAGGGATGGAGAAGGGCTGCCATACTGGGTTCAGGTTATTTTTCACCACCTCTGTTTTGTGACAAATGGTGAACCTGGAAACAGAGAGGGATCATGGCAAAGGCTGCTGCACAAACGGAGAGAGAAAAAAATGGAAGGGCTGACTGGTGTGGGCAGAGTGAAACTACAATAAGGGACGGGAAAGTACATTGATGCTTAGAGCTAAAATCTATCATCGCATTGGGTTATTGTGGGTTTTTTGGGCTGTATGGCCATGGAAGCATTCTTTCCTGACATTTCGCCTGCATCTATGACCGCTCAACTTCTGAGGATGCCAGCCATAGATGCAGGCGAAACGTCAGGAGAGAATGCTTTTAGAACATGGCCATACAGCCTGTAAAACCTACAACAACCCAACAGCAGCAGCAGCAGGAGATACCCCAGGGGCCATACAGTTCAACTCCCTTCTGCCATGCAGGAAAAGCACAACCAAAGTACCCCCTGGGCATGGGAGGGAAATATGGGTTTTGCAAGCAAGGAAGGCAAGGGGAAAAGTAGCTGGGCGATGAGATAGGAAAGGAATGGCTATGGGGGTGGGTAAAAACTTTGGTGGGCTGGAAATGACCGACGGACCATACTTTAAGGGTCTCTGGTTGAGACAATCACTGCTCCTCATCGGTACAACACAAACTGACCAACAATCTCTCTGGACATGATGGAGTACCAGGGATGTGTTAAAACAGCAGCATGTTATTTAACATAATGAACACATGATCCCATCTATATATATCTAAATGCTCTGTTCGTTTTGAGTGATGTCACAACTCAAAATCCGCTGGATGACTGGCTGCCAAATTTGGCCACAAGACATCTACTAACCCAAGGAGTGACCATCACTTAAAAAATGATTTTGTCATTTGGGAGTTGTAATTGTTGGGATTTATAGTTCACCTACAATCAAAGAGTATTCTGAACTCCACCAATGATGAAATTGAACCAAACTTGGCACACAGGACTCCCATGGCCAACAGAAAATACCGGAAGGGTTTGGTGGGCCTTGACCTTGAGTTTTGGAGTTGTAGTTCACCTACATCCAGAGAGCACTGTGGATTCAAACAATGAAGGATCAGGACCAAACTTGCCACAAATACTCCATATGTCCAAATATGAGCACAGATGGAGTTTGGGAAAAATAGACCTTGACATTTGGGAGTTGTAGTTACTGGGATTTATAGTTCACCTACAATCAAAAAGCATTCTGAACCCCACCAACGATAGAATTGGGCCAAATTTCCCACATTCAACCCCCATGACCAACAGAAAACAGTGTTGGCGACCCTTCTGACACCTCTCAACCCCCTCCCCAGGGGTTCCGGCCCCCAGATTGAGAACTGCTGCCTTAAGGCCATCCAGTCCAACTCCCTTCACCAGGGCAAGAAAACATAATCAGAGCCCTCCTGACAAAGAGCCATCTAGCCCAGTGGTTCTCAACCTGGGGTCCCCAGATGTTTTTGGCCTACAACTCCCAGAAATCTCAGCCAGTTTATCAGCTGTTAGGATTTCTGGGAGTTGAAGGCCAAAAACATCTGGGGACCCCAGGTTGAGAACCACTGAGTAGCCAAAGATATAGATAGATCTATATGATTCACACACACACACATACACACACACGGCCTATATAATATCATAGATTTGAAAGGGACCCCTAAAGAAGGACAATTATATGTTGCATGTTCCAGAGTAGGCAAACCAGACAATCTCTACATCAACACTGACAAAGAAACAACAAGAAAGTGTTTATCCACAAGCATAAAGAAATTACATATATTAAAAACCAACTTTCTCATTACTTTATTTTCAAGATCACCAGACTGGGCCACAGCAATGTGTGGCAGGGGGTGGCTAGTCTCATAATAGATATGTAAAAAGTGTGGCCTATACGTTAGTTCCATAAAGCCCAAGAGTGTATTTCATCACCAATCTCCGATGCCCTTTAAACAAAAGACAGTGAAAAAAGTTATCATGGAAACGAGATAAGCCTACTGATCCTTATGGGACCAACTTCCTAAAAACTCTCTCTGAAAGGCAAGACACTTTCAAGGTAGCCACATGGTATGGGTACACATATGCCTGGGTAACTGGGTGCCAGGGCCTCAAAAGGGGCATCTCTTGCGTACGTGCCATCCTCGTTGCTGCGGTAGAAAACAAGGAAGGGGTCGGATTTGCCAAAGAAATCCTTCTTGTCGAGCTTGTTGGCACACAGCTGCATGGTGACAATGTCCTGAAAGAGAAAGTGTACATCAGATCAAGGCAAAGGTGTGACAAAGACACCAGTACATATCAGAGGTACAGGAGGGAGGTTGAAGGCACGTGTGAGAAGAGGATACATAACTATATTATTGTTTCTGTGATTTATTTTAATTGTATTGTATTGACTGTTTTTGTTATTGTTTTTGTTAATTGATGTACTGTGGGCTTGGCCTCATGTAAGCCGCACCGAGTCCCTTGGGGAGATGGTAGCGGGGTATAAATAAAGTTTTATTATTATTTATTATTATTATATTTGAGGAATAAAGTATATAAACGTAACAAGTAAATAAAGGCAGCAGGCAGGGAGGATATCAAGAAGAACTTTGTGATTGATGATTTTCCTTCTCTTGAAACCTTAGAATAGATAGCTGTTAAGAGTAGCTCAGACCCAGTTCTTGATTACTAAGAAATGCAATTATTTCTTACTATTGTAAATAAACCTTTTGTGATTTTTTAAAGATTGGACTCTGCATGTTTGCCTCCTAAGCTCTGAATTCTTTACAGCCACATCACACGGCACTTCACGCTCTGCTCGCCAATGAGTTGATGCTCAACTTTTGTATCCTGTTTTATTTTTGGATGCTCTCCTGTATATTTTAGGGTAGCTTTCACTAACCCTGGGCACTTTGGAATTCTCTTATCAAAGAGAAAACATCCAAAGTGATAACTTTAAAGATTAAGCTGTTCCAAACATGGAGAAGCCAGTGATGTGCATGCTTGTCACATCATCTTTAAAGAGATTATCTAAAGAAAAGAGTGGCAACTGTTGGAGAATGTGTGTGTCAACTGTAAAATAAGATGCATGAAAGTGATTGGTCGGGCAATGCCCGGAGAGCAGGCTGAGCCTGGGACTTTTGGATACTCTTACATTTTTGTTCAGGCTTGAGCTGTGCAGGTACAGAGAGAGAATCAGAGAGAAGCAGAGAGAGATTTTGAAGTGTGTTCTTGTTTTACGAGCTACTGAAGGAGTTTATCCACATGGACAAAAGAAAGACCATTTTAAAATCTCTCATAAAAGGACATTATGTGAGTTTGTGCAACTGATCATATTGTACATATGTTGTTCTGAATGAAGAAGAGTAAACTACTTGTTCTTTATTGTTCACCTGTGTGGCATATTTTCTTTCCCTGGCAAGGCAGTGTGTGGGATGATTCAACGTGAACTACGTGTGGTTCATTTTCACATTACGCCACAAACCCTATTTTACCCCCATGAATATAATTGGTATGTATTGATTCAAAGTAAGAATTTTAATAGTTAAGCACTCAAGGCTTTCTACTTTGATGGTTAAATCAATCAGTTATGCTTTCTCTCATATCATGTTTCCTTCCAGGCTGTAGAACATCTGAGCCACTACTGAATTGAAGAATCCCTGGATGAGGCTAATTTGATAGTCACATTCACACATGATTTAGTTTAGGATTTGTTTTGAGAAGAATGTCCCTACCCTTCTTTCACTATCGCTTAGCTCAGGCATGGGCAAACTTGGACCCTCCAGGTGTTTTGGACTTCAACTCCCACCATTCCTAACAGCCTCAGGCCCTTTCCTTTTCCCCCTCAGCCGCTTAAGCGGCTGTTAGGAATGGTGGGAGTTGAAGTCCAAAACACCTGGAGGGCCCAAGTTTGCCCATGCCTGACTTAGTTGATGCCTGTCCTCAGTAGCCAAACTTTTGACCATAGTGGAATGGTTCTTTTAAGATATGCTATGCAAGGAAGCAAATGTTACAAACTAAAGATGTGGTCCATCCTATATGAATGTATAACAAAGGCTGTCCAGGTAAGCTTGAACATCTTAGAAGAAAGCTTGAAGGAAATCTGCCACTGGAGCCAATAACATGAGTTCATTTTTGTTAAGGTTGGAAAATTCAGACTCCCTTGTCATCGCATCTCATCTGGTACAAGCTGTTCCACATTATGATCACTTTACTTCTTAAAAAATATCGTCTGTTTGGATATTGCATAATTTGCTCAGAAAGGGTGAGTCCCCTCTTCATATGGAGGAAGGAACTAATTTTTGAAGTTAGCCTTTTTTTGTTACAACTCCAAGAATCCTTCACCCAGGTGGCAAACAGGGATACAGGATCATGGGAATTAAAAGCCCAAATAAGAAACTCACAAAAATAAAAAATTAAAAGTTTTGGTAAGATAGGGAACAACAAATACCTTTTTCCATATGTTCACTAGAGTCTCCATTTAGTTAAAATAAAAAGTGCATTGACCTGAATGTACTCCGTATACAAAGCTGCCATATTTGATTAATTTGCATTATTATACACTCCAAAGAACTCAGAGAGTGCTGCATATGGCTTTCAAGCCATCTCCCAGCAGACCAAATGAACTTCTTAGGATCTAAGAATTAACATCATTTTTCAGGAACAGAACTTTCATAGTTTTATGGCAATCCATTAGCAATCCACTCAAGTGAATGCCATTTATATTTGAAATTTTAGTGGAACATAATAAATTCTCATATATTTGGTTACTCATATGTTGCTGAAATATTGACCTCAGATTAACATATAAACATTTCAGTGGAAATTGTGGGAAACCATCAGCAATTTTAAGAAAATTTATTCTGAAAAGCAATAGCAAGAACCAACAACTGCCCTTGGATCTGGATACTTGTTTTCCAATCCATTTTCAAGTGAAAAAAACAGTGCCACTTTCTACCCTCTTATTAGGACATGATTTTAATACTGAATGTAATGTTTTTAAATGCTTAATATGTATTAATTTTAATTTAATTTTAATCTTAATGTTATTGGAACTGTATGTGTTTTAAGGCAGTGAATAATTGCCTATATGGAAGCCGCCTTCAGGGTAGAGAAAGGTGGGGTATAAATAGGGTAAACAAATAATAAATAAATAATGCAATGTCTCCCAAAAATTGAGATTCCAGAGCTCTAGCCAAGTGGACAGCAGGTTAACCACCACCTGCAGTAAATCTTGCCAGTTTGAAGCCTGAGTTGGGGTGAACTCCTGACCTTTAGCCCAGCTTCCGCTCACCTAGCAGTTTGAAAGCAAAATTTGAGTAGATAAATAGATACCTCTTAAAGTGGGGAGGTATTTAAGGCACCTACTGCATAAGGAAATGCAAGGAAATGCCAGCAATTTGATCAAGGATGAAGTTACAAACAAAGTTCTTTGAGAGGGGAGATGGAGCGACAGCACCCCCCTGTGGCCAGAACTGAGCACAAGCCTCCAAGATGCCGAAGATGGGAAAAGCCTATATATCCGTCTATCTGTGTACAGTTGTCTGTCTTTTCAGTGTATAAATGGAATTTAATGTTTGCCATATATGTGTTCTGTGATCTGCCCTGAATCTTCGGGGTGGGAAGAGTATAATATAAGTACTGTAATTTTTTTTAAAAGTGTGTATATTCCTTCAGGTCTCTTATTGACCTCTGGGACTCCATGTACTTTTATAGGTTTTTCTTAGGCAAGGAATACTCAGAATTGGTTTTGACAGTTCCTTCCTGAAAAATCTTGCTTATAGCACGTGGTGATCTCCTACCCAAGCACTACACAGATCTGGTACTGCTTAGCTTTCAAGATAAGATGGGATCTGGTGCCTTTAGGGTATTTAGGTCCTGCTAGACTCTGGCAATCCTATCTCACAAACATCTTTTTTTATTTTTGTGAGAAATTAAGCAGACAGAAAAAGCTGTGGGAAAATACAAAAAAGTAATAAATTGCCAGAAGTGCCAAAGTTGTGAATGATGGGAAATGAAATTCAACAACATGAGGGGTCACACATATTCCCATCCCTGTTATGTGTGGTTTTTTTCCACAACAATCCCTTGCAGCCAGGCCTAATCCTGCCAGCTCTTTTCTATTAGGGATGAATGCACAAGAGGAAAATGGACAACTTACCCGACAATTGCTGAGCTCTTCAGCAGATAACAAAATACTGCCACATTTTTTCCCTGGAACTCCTCTAAAGAGAGAGAGGGAGGAAGAGAGAGGGAGGGAGGGAGAAAAGTTTATTGTTACTTCAAAACTATTGTTTTTTAATATATATATATATTAGTGTTACTTCAAAACTATTGTTGCAGTTCAGCCTGTGATTGTTTCTGATATTCATGATGGGAATGGGGGTGAAGGGTTTTCTGGACCTGGGTCTGTTGGCCATTGGAATGAGGGTTTGGCTGGGCCTGAGTTAAGTCCAGATGAGAGGCCCGAGGTGTCTCATGAAGGTTCACAAGGTCATATTCCTGGGAAAGGCCCTCAACAGTATTTCTCTGAGAAACTGTCTTCTGCAGAATTTAATGAGAGTGAAGATAGAAAGCAAGTCTTTTGTAAACAGAGGCAAAGTTCTCACACACAACGAAGGTCAATTTGTCTCCAGAAAAAGAGAGGTAAGAAACCCATATCCAGTTGTAAGGGCAAGAGAAATGCTTTCCTTTCAGTTCTGGGGTCAGGAAAAGCTTTATATTGATACAAGGCGTTGCCTCAGTCTTCTCAACAATGGAATTTCATGACGTTCTTGTTTCCAAGTGTTCCTAGGGTAGCAACTTTTGCCGGGCTCCTGATCTGTGTATTGGATTTTCATGCTGTCTTGTTCTATGGATTTTGTACCTTTGAATCTTGTGTTTTACCTTGTGCCTTGAAGCTTATGGAATATTCTTTATCTTAGGGCAATGATGTTCTTACTATTATTACTGCTTTGCTTACATTTAATATTCAATAAATTGCTTGCTGTTTTTACAAAGCTGGTCTGGTGTTTAAGGTCAGAGGTGTTCCTGCTCTGGAGTACAACAACTATTCTTCAGACCATAGCTGGAAAAAGTTACTTTTTGGACTATAACTTCTAGAATCCTCAAGCTAGTTATATTTTTGGTGTTACTTGAGAACTGTATACTCTGGCGTATAGGACTACTTTTTAACCCAAGAAAATCTTCTCAAAAGTCAGGGGTCATCTTATACGCGGGAGTCGTCTTATACGCTGGAGTAGCCTTATGCGTGGGTGTCGTCTTATATGTGAGAGTAGTCTTATACGCCGGGAGTCATCTTATAGAGCGGGTGCTGAAACTTCCAATCCGGATTGGAGAATCTGTGGTTGCTGCATATTGTGGGGGGAGCTCAAAAATGGCAGTGGCCATGTCCCTGCCGTATGCAGTGACTGTATGAAAGCATTAAGGGCAACACTGTGCAAATACGGTAGAAGAAAATCCATTCATCAGGATTCGTGGACTTAATGTGGTCCTGATGGTGAAGTGAAGGGGCGCCTCACCGGGAAGGTGTAAGTGAAGGGCAGAGCAAGCTGCAGGTGTCCAGGGTGCCCGGGGTATGGAAAAAAGAGATAGAGTGGGTCTGGGCCCAGAAAAACACAACTCTTTTACCTGTCTGGCCCGCCCTTGTATCCTATTGCCATACCTCCTCCTCTGCCTCTCAGACCTGGCTCCTGAAGACTGCAGTGAAGCAGTGCAGGTTTGCATGTGCAAGATCTGAGAGGCAGAGAAGGAGGTACAGTAATAGGAAAATTACCATATTGAAATCAAATCTGATGCTTTTAAAATTTTTATTTGGTGTGTGTTAGAAGAGGGGTAGTCTTATACAGCGAGTATATCCCAAACTCTATATTTTAATTGGAAAAGTTGGGTGTTGTCTTATACGCCCAGTCGTCTTATATGCCGGAATATTTGGTACCTGAGTGGGATCAGACTGGTATTTTACTAGGGTAACAGAGAGAAAAGCAGAGGTGGGACCTGATGGTTGTGCCAGGCCGCAACAGTCCCTAATTTCCTTCCTAGCATGGCAAATGTCTGTAATGAGTGTGGTGGGAGCAAAGCGGCATTTGGAATGGTCAGTGGCACTCAGAGGCATGCTCTGTCAGAAATAATTAGTGGTGGAAAGCAAAAGATACAGAGAGAGACCCTGAACTCACCCACATAACCACACACATACTTTGTTGCTTGCTCCTGGGTGAAAAAAGGAAGCTCAAGCACAGCCTTGCATCAAAGCCAAAAGAGCCCCAAGCTGAGTCCCTCAAGCCAACAGGTTCCATCTGGGGAAAGCTTCAGATTAATACCTCCTACCCAAACCTTTCTGTTGGCCTGGCCATCTACACCTAGAGCATATGTGGAAACCAATTAGCATAGCTGTTGACAGGAACCAGAACATCTGAACACATAAGACCTATTCTGGTCAGTGTGCGCTAAATATGCATACATTTCTGAGCCCATTTCAAAGCACTGCTTTTAGTTTGCAAAACTTTATGCAAGAAGGACTGAACAACTTGATGAAATGACTCTCCTATCATAACACATCAAATATTCAAAGACCAGTGACTATCATTTTTCTTGCTCTCCTCTAGAAAGGTTCAGTGTGCATCTGAACTGTAGAATTAAAGTAGTTTGGCATCCCTTTAACTGACCTTGCTCAATGCAATGCAATAAAAGGAGTTGTAGTCTTGGAATCTTGGTATTCTCTGCCAAAAAGTGCTGGCACTTCACCAAACTACAAATCCCAAGATGCCATAGGGCAAAGCTGTAATACAGCGGGTTAAACCGCCAGCTGTAGAAAATCTTGCAGATCAAAAAGTTAGCTGTTCAAGCCTGGGTCGGGGCAAGCTCCTGCTGTCAGCCTAGCCTCTGCTAACCTAGCAGATCGAAAACAGCAATGTGGGTAGATAAATAGGTACCACTTTAAGCAGGGAGGTAATAAAAGGAGCCCATAAAGACATGCTGGTGATTTGATTGGAAGGGCGTCTATAGACAGCAAAGCTCCTTGGCATGGAAGGTGGAGTGACAGCATCTCCATGTGGCTGGAGTTGAGCACAGTTTCCAGATGCGGGAGATGGAAAAAGATGGGAAGGCCTACACCTCTGTTTATGTATTTTCTGTCCTTGTTAATTATATAATGGAATTGAATATTTGCTGTATATGTGTTCTGTAATCTGCTGTGAGTCCCCTTGGGGAGATAGAGCAGAATATAAATAAAGTATATAAGTACTTAAAGTGGTGTTGAGCTGCCTCAATTCTACAGTATAGATGTACTCTCAGGGCGGAGCGACAAAGGTGAGGGCCTTTTTGATTGTGGCCCTGTGAGTCGTTCTATGTTCTTCCCAGGAAGTCCTGTGCTTCTTGATATTTTTGATTCCAATTTTAAGACATTATAATTATAATTATAATTAAGTGGTTAATTATTTCTGTGTAATTTACTCTTGTATTTTACTTCTGTGTAATTTACTCCTTCACAACCTCTGAGGATGCCTGCCATAGATGCAGGCAAAATGTCAGGAGAGAATGCTTCTATAACATGGCCATACAGCCGGAAAAACTACAACACCCCAGTGATTCTGGCCATGAAAGTCTTCGACAATATGTATCACTCTTGTTTTTAAATTTTTAGCTTCTTCGTATGTTTATTGTTTGAAGTTGCCATGAAAGTCTTCTAAGAAATCTAATAACTTAAACAATACATACATTTGGCTCACTTAAATTGATATCAAATATTCTTTATTCCATAAAGACAACAGAGTGCAGCTGGCGTGTGAAAAAAACTGAACATATTCAAGGCCCATTAGCATTGTGAGAACTTCCTCATTTTAAATCCAGAGATACTATCTAGACAGACACTCAAAAAGTTACTAATGTGGAGCGTGAGCCATGGCTGGCTGAGAGATTCTTGTAGCTGTTGTTCAAACATAACATTCCAACTTCTGTTCCAGACAGAGACTCCCAGGCCCACAAATCAACACACTGTGCAGCTATTCCATCTTTTCTCTCAATAATTGATTGGATGAGGAGGAAAAAGATAGAAGAAGCAGTTGGAAAACACAGAAAGCTACAGATGAACAATGCCATCTGGACCCACTGTGAAATCCTGTGAATTTACGTAGACTTCACAAGAAAGCCTTAGTCTGAAAGCACTCATACTTGCAGATTATGCATTTTGATTGCCTCTGGTTTTATTATGTATTGTGTTTTATCAACTAATTGATTAATTAATATACATTCTACTTTTATCCAAATGCTAGGATCCAGGAAAGCAGATACAGAATCACAATGGCTCACAATAGGAGAGAGACAAAGAATATTAATCTGGATCACACTTTAGTGGGAGGACTTTACTCTTCCTCTACTTCCTAATACAGAGAAATATCTATTAAAGGATATGTGGCATTTGGAAGAATACAAGTGTTTTGTGTTCAGCATGTGATTGTGTCTGATGTTCATGTTAATGCTGATGTTCATGATGGGAATGGGGATGATATTCCTGATGGTGAATTTGAGGATGAGAGTTTGCTTGGGCCTGAGTTAAGCTCAGATGAGAGGCCTGAGCTGTTTCAGGAAGAGGAAGATTCCCAAGGCCGCATTCTTGAGAGGGGCCTTCACAGCCTTTCTCAGAACAACTGACTGAAGATAATTTGTCAGGTGAAGAAAATAATGAGAGCTCAGAGAGAGCTGATAATAAGAGCTTAGACAGAGAGCAAAGTTTCTGTAAACAGAGACAGAGTTGGCAAAGACTCAGACGATCTGTTTGCTTACAGCAAAAGAAAAATAACAAACCATTATCTGGTAGCAAGGTCAAGAGAAACACTTTCCTTTCAGTTTTGGAACCTGGAAAAGCCTTATATTGATGCATGGGGAAAGTGCTATCTCATTTGGGTCAACGTTGGAAATTGATCATGGTCTTGTTTTCAAGCGCTCTTAGTTTCATGTACCAAGTTCTTGCCAAGCTCCTATTTTGTTTATGAGATTTTCCTGCTGTTTAGTTTCATGGTTTCAAGTTCTTGGTTCCATAGATTTTTATGTACTTTTGGATCTCGTTTTCCTTTGAGGTTTGGGACTATTTTACTTGTATTGGATCTTTACAGTTTTTGTTATTTTTACTGCTTTGCTTATATATATTCTTCAATAAACTGCTTGCTGATTTTGCCAAGCTGGTGTGGTATTTAAGGTCAGAGGTGTTCCTGCTCTCTGGCATACGACAAAACCGCTATTATTACTGGTAAGTAATGGTAGATAATGTTTGGATTCTGAGCCCCATGTTGATTCTTCTGTGACTTTCCCAACTGGGGAAAACATCTGGCTCCTAAATGAGTTGTAAAAATTGATTAAGAAATGCTTTTCAAGTTGCATTTGGGGAGGACACAGCACAGGCAAAGCCACCTGCTGACAGTGGAAGTTGCGTTAGTCTGATACCACTTCTGAAAAGAAGACCAATCAGATGGATCTTTCCTTCCCCTTCACTATTCTGTCTAGAGACAAAAATCCCATGCAGCCCTGGTATTTCTGTGTATCCTGCCAATGTATGAACTTGCCCAAAGGAGAGTGGATTCAGTTTACAAGAACTAATGAATCAAAAATAACAAGAGAAATTATTTTACCTAAAGACAAACAACCTTTTCACCATAAGGAAACACTGTGTGAACAATAAGCACAAAATAGCTGCACACAATAACATCCTGTTTAAACTTACTAGTAGTGCATGGGATACAGACCCAAAAATAATAAGAACATCAGCCCTGGCCTTGTCTTACTCAATTGCTGAGTATGGCTGTTCTGTTTGGCATGAGTCTGTCCACACGAAGCAGGAATGAGACATATAGAATAATCACAGGATGTCTTAAACCTACACCTGTTGATAGACTCTTTAAGCTAGCTGGCATTGCCCCCCCTCCCCCAATGTGTGATGGGAAGTTTCTGACAAATGCAAGAGAAATAAAGTTGAATACTATGAAAGCCCCCCAGTAGACTCAAATCAAGGAAAAGCTTCATGAGAACCACAACTCCTCTAAATGTTCCTCCAGAAATAGCCAGAATATCCCCGTAGGCCGCAAAATCAGGCAATTCCAACTGGATGCCCCTCCACAAGGACTTCCTCCAGGAGCAAACCAAGAATAGGCAAGGGGGAAAGAGGGGAAAATGAAAGACTATTTTCTCCATGACTCACGCGAGTGGCCGCTCCAGGCGACCTCTTTGGGAGCCGATGACTTCACCCAGTGCCACATAAACTTGACCTAGGAAGTCCTGAAGGGGAAGATAAAAGAAGATGAAACATCTGGGATATGGAAACAGAGACCTCATTCAATTAGTTAGGACTCCTCCACACTGATCTAGGCATTCCTTCTTAAACTGTGGGTCCCGACCCTAAATGGGGTCCCCCCAAAATTGGCAACAATAAAATCTTTCTGAATGTTACTTAGTGGCTGTTTTAGACATTTACATGAATCTGTTGTGCAGTGTTTACAGCAGATTCTGCAGAAGATGCTTCAGCTGTATTTTATAAAAAGGAAAATCAACCCGTTTTAATAATTGTACAAGTTTAATTCCATTTGAACTTGTACAATTATTAAAACAGGTTGATTTTCCTTTTTATAAAATACTAAAATAAATATTATTAACTGTATTACTTCTTTAAAGTTTGAGACAATTTGGGTCTCAATTCTGAGAAAAGGTGAGGTATAAATAAATATCATCATCACTCTAAGCATTTTTTTTGTCGTGTCAGGAGCGTCCTGTTGACGCCCAGATGATTTTTGATGTTTATCATTCTTGTGGGAGGCTTCTCTCATGTCCCCGCATGAGGAGCTGGAGCTGACAGAGGGAGCTCATCCACCTCTCCCCGGATTTGAACCTGCGACCTGTCGGCCTTCAGTCCTGCCGGCACAGGGGTTTAACCCACTGTGCCACCGGAGGTCCTCTAAGCAAAATAAAAAAGGAGGGAAGAAGAAAAAGCTGTTTTGTTCTGATATTTCTCAGCATTAAAAATAAACTCATCTGAAGATGGAAACAAAATGTTGTAGTGATACATGTTACAAAACAGTCTAAGATAACAGAAACATGGTTTGGGATATTAAAAAATATCAGGCATGGGCCCAAGTTGTTCTGCACTGTATCCTGATAGATATCCTAGTCTTTTGCTGATTTCTTGAGTAGAGTCACCATTTTGATTTATGACTGAACCAAAGTATAAGGAATTTTTGATTATTACCCTGGTACATTCATGGACTTCCATGGACCATTAAACTTTAATGATTAAAGAAAGATATAAATGAACTGGTTTGACTGGTAACACAAGAGCTGTCAATGCAGAGGCATGGCATGTGTGGCCTGGCCCAACAGTACTATACCACTTGACCACCAGAGGGCACTATGGCCCATAACCAAGTGATGGGCAACTCACCTTCTGCAAAGCCACATTGGTCAAAGCACAGCATGGAAAAAGAAATGAAAATAGACAAATTAGTCTCCGCCTGAAAAATCTTTGAACAGCTCCTGTTCAGCCCCCCATTTCCTTTATTGTTCAGACCCTGGAACCAAAACAAATGTATATTTTAAATACATTCAACAACATGCTGTTTCACAAAGAGTATTTCTTGTCCCAAGGAGTTTGTGGTGTAAAAAAGAGAAACAGAGAATCAGACAGAAAGAGGGGAAAAGAAGAAAAGACTGGAAAAAGATGGGATTACTTTAACTACATATATTTTTGCTTAGCTACAGCAAGATACCAGAATAAAGGGCTTACTCCAAAGGCTCCCTAGAGAAAGTGAGACGGGAAAGAGTTTGGACTCTCTCCCCAGGGAGATTAGACTGGTTCCCACTCTGTCCACTTTTCATAAAGACCTAAAAATGTGGATGTTCCACAGTGCCTTTGATTAAATAGTTCACTAGATAATTTCTGCCTTGCCCCCCCCCCCCCCACCATAATCCATATATGGCCCCTGCACTTTACCTCTGTTCCTTGCCCTATAGATATAGTGTTTTAATCAAAATTACTCTTTTAGACCAAACTATCATCTAGCTCTTGCACTTTTTCCATCAGCCCTGTCCTTGCAAGCACAACTTTTTCTAATGTTGCACCATTAAGCTGTATTTCTGGCATTGGAGAGGGATTGGAGAGGGATCCGCTACCTTGGTAGCCACCTCTCCACAAAAGTCAACATTGACACTGAAATACAACATTGCCTGAGCTCTGCGAGTGCAGCATTTTTCCGAATGAAGCACAGAGTGTTTGAGGACCAAGACATCCGCAGGGATACCAAGGTGCTTGTTTATAAAGCTATTGTCCTCCCAATCCTGCTATATGCCTGCGAAACGTGGACTATCTACAGATGTCACATGCAACTCCTGGAACGATTCCATCAGCACTGCCTCCAAAAAAATCCTGCAAATCTCTTGGGAAGGCAGGCAGATAAATGTCAGTGTGCTGGAAGAAGCAAAGACCACCAGCATTGAAGTGATGGTCCTCCGCCATCAACTCCGCTGGACCGGCCACGTTATCCAAATGCCTGGTCACCATGTCCCAAAACAGTTGCTCTACTCCAAACTCAAGGACGGAAAATGGAATCTTGGAGGACAGGAAAAGAGATTTAAAGATGGGCTAAAAGCCAACCTTAAAACCTGTGGCATAGACACCAAGAACTGGGAAGCCCTAGCCCTTGAGAGCTCTAACTGGAGGTCAGCTGTGATCAGCAGTGCTGTAGAATTTCAAGAGGCACGAATGGAGGGTGAAAGAGAGAAATGTGCCAAGAAGGCAGCACGCCAAGCCAACCCCAACCGGGACTGCCTTTCAGCTGGAAACCAATGCCCTCACTGCGGGAGAACATGCAGATCAAGAATAGGGCTCTAAGTAAATAAGCAAGTATTCTATTACCATGTCAGTCTATGGGTTGATTGATGATGTCATTTTATGGTGTTTTATGATGATGTTTTTATAAATTTTACTGTGCTATGTTTTATCTCTATGTTTGACCGGGCTTGTCCCTATGTAAGCCGCCCCAAATCCCTTTGGGGAGATGGTGGCAAGATAAAATAATAATAATAAAACTTTATTTGTACCCTGCTACCATCTCCCCAAGGGACTCGGTGCAGTTTACATGAGGCCAAACCCACAGATACAAAAATTAAGTTATTATTATATTATAGTTTTGGAGGAATTTCCACAAGTAAGGACAGAAAAAGAATGGGGACATTTCAGTGAGAAAGGTACCTCTATGTGATGGAGAGGATGTGGCTGAAATAGGGAACATCACCAAAAAGGACATACTGGTAACAAGACAATGAAGAGAGAAGAAATAAACCTTACACACTGTCATAGCTAGGTGCCTCTGGAAAGTTCACACCATTTGGTGGTGTCAGCACAATGCCTCTGAATCAAAGCTTGGAAAAGTTACTTTTGAGACTACAACCTCTAGAATCCTCCAGCGGCCATATAGCTTGGGAAGCCAGAAACCCTTTCTTTATATATTTGTTACCGAATTTGATTTTAAATGTCTGTATATGTCTCTTTAAAGTGTAACCCAATACTGTAGTCAGTGTGTAGCTTCCAACTTTGCCTCACAGGTTACATCAATATAATCTCCAGTTGACTTTCAAAAATATAACTTCAGTCCTGTAACTTGACATGAGACTTTAATATATTAGTTGAAACATAGACATGTTTATTTATGAGTTCTTATGCACATGAAGTGTATTTGTTACACAGTACTTTACTTCAGTTCCACTTGGATGTTGTTACATCTGTCTTTTACTTTTGAGAATACATAAAACTGTTATTATATAATTTTCAGAACAGTTTAACTTATATCAACTTAGTTAGGCAACTTCCTTATCTTTCAAATATAATTTCTCCTCAGCCTTCTGAGTGGATAACTTATATCTTATAATCACTTTTAAATCAATAGTCTGACTGTAAACTTAGTCTCAAAGGACTCCCTGTCTCTCAGTTCCACCTGACATAGTCTCAAATTAGTCTCTTTTTACTTCAGTATCACAACTGAAGGCACAATCTTATACAAGGATATTCTTCCCTCTAGCTCCCAGACTAGAGTCTAACTCAAAGCTGCTCTGAGTCCCCCCTCGGGGGTTGAGAAGGGCGGGGTAGAAATGTTGTAAATAAATAAATAAAGTATCACAGCTGTAGACTCAACTCAAACTAGGAACTTTTTCACTCTAGCTCCCCTGGCTAGAGACTGAATCATTTTCAAAATGTTCCCTCTTCTTCTTGTCAGATAGCTCCGCCCCTTTTGCCTGCTAGCCACTTTAAAATGGATACCTTTCTACTGCGGAGGCTATGCAACCATAGTGACACATCGACCAATCAGATGTAGCCAACACCTGCCTGCTCTTGCCATATCCACATTAATAAACATAGACAAAACCTCCATTACAATTAGTTTTTCTGTTACATAGCTCTAGTAAGGTGGCCTATGAAGCCGAAGTCTCTCTATTATCTAAGCAAAGGAGGAACTGGCTTTGTTGAACTGATTAGATCATTTTTCGAACTCCAATCAAAGAAAGAGAAAGAGATGCAGAGATCAGTTATGGAGACAGATGCTGTGACATATTGTGAACTGCCTGTTTCCCACACCAGGAAAAAGAAGTGATATAAAAATAAATAAAGGAAGGACTACATACAAATGTTCCTGGTTCCAGAGCTCAAGGGGCTCTTGTCTGGGGAGGTCCTGCTCTTGATCCCGCCTTCCTCGCAGATGTGTTTGGCGGGGTCAAGAGACAGGGCCTTCTCAGTGGTGGCCCCTCAGCTATGGAACGCCCTCCCAGGGATATAAGATCGGCTCCCTTCCTTCTAACATTCCCCAAAATGGTTAAGACCTGGATCTTCAAGCAAGCTTTTTCTACTGGAGCATAATTAGACATACATAAATATATGGAATAATTGACGATGCAACTGGGCAACGATTTTATAAGGAGACACCAAGGATCTTGTTTCTACATATATATTTGCTTTTTATATTACATTTTAAATGTTGAATTGTTTTTATAATTGTTTTAACTGTATTTTGATATTTGCAAATAAAAAGTTGTTTCTTTGCTCTGAAAACCTTTTAGCATATTAACAAACATGGACTAATTCAAAGAGAAAATGGTCATTACCTGGTGGCCACTTGGGGGAGGGAGCTCCATATAAAAAACACAAAACATTTATCTTTCTTCAATGGTAGCAGCTTTCCAGCTAACTGGGTACTGTGAACCCTGACTCAGTAAGAAAACCTCTTGTGAATGAATGTGGATTGGAGATGCTTGAAGAGGTAGACATTGTACTCACATGCTTGGGCAGGTTGCAGGTCTTGGAGTCCACATTGTAACTAGAAAAGCACAGAGGAAAATACATTACTGTTTTGACTACTAAACACCCTTGAAGTTGTCAATAGCTCATCGTTGCTTTCTGGAACAGGAGCAACAAGGAATGTAGAGAGTAGGCAAATAGTGGTGTACTTGGGCCAGGTATGTTTTGATCAGCAAGAACATTTATATTGTTGGCTTGCTGTGAGTTTTCCAGGTTGTATGGCCATGTTCCAGAAGTATTCTCTCCTGACATTTTGCCCACTTCTATGGCAGGTGTCCTCAGAGATCATGAGGTTTGTTGATGACTAGGCAAGTAGGGTTTATATATCTGTGGAATGTCCAGGGTGGGAGAAAGAACAGTTCTCTACTTGAAGCAAGTATTTAATGTTGCAACTAGCCACCTTGATTAGCATTGAATGGCCTTGCAGCTTCAAAGTCTGGCTGCTTCCTGCCTGAGGGACTCCTCTGTTAGCAGGTGTTAGCTGGCCCTGATTGTTTCCTGTCTGGAATTCCCCTATTTTCTGAGTGTTGCTCTTTATTTACAGTCTTGGTTTTAGAGTTTTTTAATCCTGGTAGCAGGATTTTGTTTATTTTCATTGTTCTTTCTGTTGAAATTGTCCATATGCTTGTTGATTTCAATGGCTTCTCTGTGTAGTCTGGCAAGGTAGTTGTTGGAGTGGTTCAGCATTTTTGTGTTCTCAAATAATATGCTGAGTCCAGGTTGGTTCATCAACCTGGGCCATGAAAGCCTTCGACAACACAACATTTATATCAGTTGCCACTCCAGCTACCCCTTCGCTGCTATCTCTGAGCAAAGCTGCCATCCTCATAGTTGATGGCAGTGTAGATGGATTTTTGCAGCAAGGATATATTATTACGAACTGCCTCTATTGTAATGCAAAGGATTTAGGGACATCTTGGCCTTGACTGTGTAAGATCCATTAACTTTGCACAAGACCTGTCGCTGGTGGAAATGAAACCTTGAACAATTATTGATTTGAACCAACAGCTGTCTGTTTTTTAGGTGCTTGCCTTGGGAGTGTGAATAGGATGAAATGAGGAGCAGCTGCACTTCAACCTTGATGACTTAGGGCCCATCCAGACAGTACCATTATCCCAGGAGCTTCCTGGGAGGGTCCCAGATGCCATTCGCTGGAAACACTGAAGGAATCGCTAGAAAAGGCAAAAAACAGGAGATTCCCAGGTGTGGGAATATTGCAGTTTTGAGCCAAATATGCCGATCTTCGCATGTCTGTATGTCCCTACAATTGGAAGTCATGGAATTTTTAAATCTGGGTTTGTTCCCAGGTTTTAGATGTTTGTTCCTGATTGGTCAGTCCCTAAAAATAAGGCAACACTTGAATAGAAGGCAAAAACTTTGTTTGTGTGACAGAAACTTCATGAAACGTATGGAGGGCACATTTTCTCTGGCCAGAACAAAGTTGTGCCTCCTTCATCAATGTTATCTTTTCACAATGAGAGCCATCAGGAACAGCCATGTATAACCCAGGAACAGCACCTTATTGTTTGATGTTACAAGTATACAACCAAATCTGTCTGGACAGATGGCCAGGCAGCCAGGCTCTAAAAAGTGTCAATAATGACAAAGTTCTGTTCCTGGCTTGAAAGTGTGTGTTCCTGTTTGTGCAGTACTGACTTGGACAGAAGTGGTCCTATCCTGCAAACTTTGTTTGTGTGGCAGATACTTCATGAAACGTTTGGAGGGCACAGTTTCAAGTCTGGACAACAGATGAAACTTTTGCAATGATTTGCTGCAGTGATTCTCCGCATATGTGCATATCTTGAGGGTTTTAAAAACCACTGAAGTTTCTGGCAGAAATCCTGCGGCAGCCAACTTGGGAGCCTCTAAATCTCGCAACAAAGCATCAAGTCTGGACAACAGAGGCAGAAATCCTGGGAGCAACAGGTCTTTATGTGGACCTCTTCTAAAGTCCCGGGATTTTTGGCTTCTGTTTAAAACCCATGTTTTAGTGCTGTCTGGAAATGCCCTTAGAGAACAGGATAGAAAGATTGACACAAGAAAAGGTTGGGATCAGAAGCAGAGGAAAGACAGCATGCAAGCAGAATCAACTCACACATCAAAGCGCAAATTCTGTTTCTCCTCAAAGTAATAGTCGAGGACAAACTTCCGGACAAAGTCTGGGTTTAGTGTGTTGTCAATCACTTCTGTGCGACCAAACTTGGAAAGAGCGGAGAAAGAAGCAGAAAGAGAAATGTAGGAAAAAGTTAAAGAGGCAACAGCATAGTGCTAAATCAGGTATGGGTGAACTTGGCCCCTCCAGGTGTTTTGGACTTCCTCCCATCATTCCTAACCGCCTCAGGTCCTTTCCTTTTCCCCCTCAGCCGCTTAAGTGGCTGAGGAGGAAAAGGAAGGGGCCTGAGGCTGTTAGGAATGGTGGGAGTTGAAATCCAAAACACCCAGAGAGCTCAAGTTTGCCCATGCCTGTGCAAAATACTAAAACTATAAAAAGTAACTTCTTGAGGCTACAATGTGTTGAATATGTTTTCCTTTAAAATGTTTCCCTTAAAAAAGTTAGGAAACAGCAGAAGCCGCTTCTTGCTGGAAGTAGAAAATAATGTAGTGCATCCACTAGGATTCAATTTGCTAGATATCTCCAGGACAGGCATTCATAAGATAACAACACCTCTGAAAGTGAAAAGTGAATGTCTTTTAGCATCTTTTTATTCAAACCCATCTTCCCTTTCTTCCTCACCCCCTATGTAACTGGATATTCTCCAACAACACTGGAATTGGGAGGATGATGCTGGAGAAGTACAGATTGTTGGTGGGAGATTGCAAAAGCATTGCCTGTAGTAAAGAATGCAATAGAGTTTGAGTTGGGAAAGAATGGGATTCTGCTCTCGCTGATTCTACTGTAGGCCTGTCTACAATAGGCCAAATAAACACCTGCTGTTTCCAGAATCATAGTTAGAAGAGACTTCATGAGCCATCCAGTCCAACCCCCTGTCAAGAAGCAGGAAAATCACATTCAAAGCACCCCCGACAGATGGCAATCCAGCCTCTGAATCCCCCGTGCATGAAGAGCAAAACAGAGAGCAAAGGTGAAAGCAGATAGTCATTGTTAGTCATTCCAAGCATGTTAAAAGAAAACTAAATAGATAGATCTGCAAGTCTGGCCACCAAAATGGGAACTATATGAAAAGTGGGGAACAGTGAAAGAAAATGGTCATACTTGGGTGTATTTTGGAAGTAGCCTTCAGTTGGACACTAGAAGGTTCAAAATGTTTTTGTTTACTTTGTTTACAAGGCCCACGTGATCTAATATTATCATTTCATATGTGCATTTATTTATTTTGGGCTTTTATATCCCGTCCTATCTCAACCTCCACTCAGGATGGCTAACAAATCGGCACCCCATGGCACCCATATAAAAAACATAGATACACAATTTAACAGCAATATAATAACAATATAAAACAGTATAAACAGTTTAAAACAATATAAAACAGTATAAAAACAGTATAAAAACAATCAATCAGTCAGCGGTCACCGGTTTAAATAATCATCCAAGGGGCAGTCCATCTATTCTATATAAGTCAACACGTCAGCAAGTCAGCCTAATCTACAAAGGCCTGATCCCATAGCCAGGATTTTACTTGTTTCCGGAAGGTCAAGAGGGATGCAGCAGATCTAATTTCACTCAGGAGGGAGTTCTATAGCCAGGGGCCACCACAGAAAAGGGCCTGTCCCTTGTCCCCGCCAGACGCGATTGCAACAATGGGGGATCAATGAGCAGGGTCTCCCCATAAGATCTTAAGGCCCTAGGTGGATCATAGCAGAAGTTTGATCAAAAATTCACTGAATTATGTCGAACTGCTATTCCTTGTTGTTGTTGTTTTGTTGTTGTTGTTGTTGTTGTTGTGTGTGTTTTGCATCTAGTACCAAATCTTCTGTTAATGGACTAATGCCCAGGAGAACATCTACTGTAGAGTCTCACATATCCAACCTTCATTCATCCAACGTTCTGTATTATCCAACGTGGTCTGCCTCCCGCCCGGATCCACAGCTGTTTCAATACACTTTGTTGTTTTGGTGCTAAATTGGTAAATATGGTAATGACTACATAATGTTACCACGTATTCAACTGCTTTTTCTGTCGATTTGTGGTAAAACATGATGTTTTGGTACTTAATTTCATAATGTAATTTGATGTTTAATAGGCTTTTCTTTAATCCCTCCTTATTATCCAACATTTTCACTTATCCAAAGTTCTGTTGGCCCATTTATGTTGGATAAATGAGACTCTACTATATTTAGTTAACCAAACTATTCTGGTACTCAGGAGCAAGAATTCCAGAGTGAGAGCCTTGAGCAGTGTGTTTGTATATATATTTTCCTTGGATTGCTGTGAGTTTTCCGGGTTGTATGGCTGGTGAAACATCAGAAGCATTCGCTCTTGATGTTTCATCCACATCTATTTCAGGCTTCCTCAGAGGTTGAGGAGTCTGTTGGAAACTAGGCAAATGAGGTTTCTATATCTGTGGAATGTCCAGGGCAAGTGTGAATGTTGCAATTGGGCATCTTGATTTGCACTGAATAGCCTTGCAGCTTGAAAGCCTGGCTGCTTTCTGCCTGGAAGAATACCTTGTTGGGAGGTGTTGGCTAGCCCTGATTGTTTCCTGTCTGGAATTCCTGTTAGATATATAAACCCCACTTGTCTTAGTTTCCAACAGACCTCACAACCTCTGAAGATGCCTGCCACAGATGTGGGCAAAATGTCAGGAGGGAATGCTTCTGGAACATGGCTATACAGCCTGGAAAACTCACAGCAACCCAGTGATTCCGGCCATGAAAGCCTTCAACAACACATATATTTTCCTTATTTATTAAACCTGGGTTTTTTTTCAATTTGGTGTTTAATATTTCTTGGTTAGATCACCAGAGGCCTTGTAACATCACTCTGGTAAAAAAGAATCATATAACAGGAAGGTGACCCAAAAGGTCATCTAGTCTAACACTCTATCAATGCAGAATGTTACAAAGAACTTCTGAGTGATGGACATTCAGCCTCTGCATTAAAAGTAACAATGAAAAAGCAGATGTTGGATGTGTACCGTTCAAAGTGTTCCTTTACATCACAAGGGAACATCCCTAAGTGTGAAGTTTTAGCCCTAAATTCTCAGGAATTAGTATGCTCATGACCTGGTAGGAGCCAAAGGGCTTTTTTTCCCCTGCATGGCTTCAAGAAAGTCATATCTATATCACCTCCCACTGCATTTGGGCATTTAAAGACCAGATTCAAGTCTTCAGATTGCAACTCTAGAGGCAAGGTGTTGGACAAGATGCTTAGACTAGACCAGAAGAACAGCATACAGCTGGCAGCTCATGGGTGAAATTTACCAGAAAATAACTAGAACTTATCGACAATGATAATCCGTGCTACTAAAAAAATTCCAAGCAGATTGATCTTTCCAGACTTGGTATAACACATGCATGGGAAACTATATTTTAATGCAGAGGATGGTTCCTCACCTCTCGCCATTCCTTGTCTGCGGTTCCTTGGATGTAGAGAATCACAACTGCAAGGACAGATGTCAAAATAATACATTAATGAAAAGAGTGTACACATTTCAACCCATTCCAACCCACGAGTTTCCCTATGTAATTGAATTTCTCTTTTTTACAAAAGCACACATGCATTCACTAATACCTTCCACATCACACCCACAACATACCTGAGACTTAAAGCTAAAATCTGTAGTAATAACAGTGTACCCCCCTGGGTCTATTATTATTAAGGCAAGGAAATTTGGGGACAGGCAATCTGGTATGGAGAAACAGGAAAACGCTTGATCTTCGCCTCCACTCTCTCTGCGCTCTAAATCTCCACCCAATCCTTCAACGTATAATTCCAAATGCAATTTGTTCCTGTGCAGAGTTTCAGAAATGTGACTCTCTTGGACTACAGCTCCCAAAATCCCACAGTATTTCGACCTTTGGTTGTGTATTACTGAACTTGTGGCTCCTTCTCCCCCATAAATAGAACAATATTAGAAAAGTGACTTAACCAGGGGTGCATCTACACCAGGTATGGGCAAACTTCAACCCTCCAAGTGTTTTGGACTTCAACTCCCACAATTCCAAACAGCCTCAGGCTCTTTCCTTTCCCCTTTCAGCCGCTTAACCTCTGATTTAAAACCTCCAGAGAAGGAGACTCTTCCACGCTCCAAGATAGCATATTCCACTGCCGAACAGCCCCTTACACTCAGGAGTTTTTTTTCCTAATGTTTAGATGGAATTTCTTTTCCTGCAGAAAATAAGTTTGTTCCCTCCTCAATAGGACATCTTTTCAAATATTTAAACCTGGTAATCATGTTCCCTCTTAACGTTCTCTTCTCCAAGCTAAACATACTCAGTTCTGAAAGCTACTCCTAATAGGACTTGTGTTACAGATTTTACACATTACAAATCAGTCAAAAATGAACTTATACCTAGGTAAAAGAAAACCCATAACTTCCCAAACAATTCTACCTTTCTGCGAATCTGCTATTTATGTACTTATCGTGTCAGAAGCGAATTGAGGATACAGTTATAATGCAGATTACAGCAGCTGTCTTCATAGACCTGTCAGCAGCATATGATATCACAAATCTTCTTCTTCTGAGAAAAATTTGTAATATCACAAAGGACTACCACCTCACCTGCTTCATAGGAAATCTGCTACAAAACAGGAGCTTTTTTTATGAGTTCCAAGGCCAGAGAAACAGATGGTGAAAATAGAAGAACGGCCTGCCTCAGGGGAGTGTGCTTGCTTCATCAATGTTCAACATTTACACAGATGATCAGCTACTGCCAGAAGGGACAGAGTTTCATCTATGCTGACAATTGTGCCATCACCACTCAAGCAGGAAGCTTTGAAATGGTTGAACAGAAACTCTCCAAAGCTTTAGGTGTTCTTACTGCCTATTACAGGGAAAACCAGCTGATTCCTAATCCATCTAAATCACAGACATGTGCTTTTCATTTTAAGAACAAACAAGCATCTCAGGCTCTGGGGATTACCTGAGAAGAAATTCCACTGGAGCATTGCAGCACACCCAAATAACTGGGAGTTAGCCTGGACTTGCTCAGGGTCAACCTAAGTCTGAAACTACTTGAAAGCACACAACACAACAACAACAACAACAACAACAACAACAACAACAACAACAAACCCTATCTCATCAGCCAAAAGTAGGCCCACACTTCCCATTGAAATACAAATAAGTTTGTATTTGTTAAAATTGTTCTTCATTTTAATTATTGTATTGTTTTTAAGTGTTTTTTGCACTACAAATAAAATATGTGCAGCGTGCAGAGGAATTAATATTTTTTTCAAATTATAATCCGGCCCTCCAACAGTTTGAAGGACTGTAACCTAGCCCTCTTTTAAAAAAGTTTGAGGACCCCTGGCTTGGTAGGTCTGCAATATTTTGGTATAACATTTTGACCGCTATATATCAGTTTCTCTCATAAAGGGGACACGGCTTGTTTGAAACATAGGAGCACCGCAAGACAGATGGCTCTGCCAGTCTTTGAACCCTTGCTGATATATTGTACATTAGTTGTCTAAATTGTGAAGTTGGGAAGAAGCCAAGCTCACACAGTGGGAGCAGAGACTACTGAAGCTGTTTATATGCTATTGATTATTAATCAACTACAATATCTTCAATCAGTTGACAGCCTGAGCTTTCATCTTCACGATGAAGGTTTTCCAAACAATGTGGTTGCCAATTAAAATATAGATTGGCATACTCTTCCCCTAAGATGTATTTTTTAATCCAAAGGAGCCTGCAAAATCATGCACTAGGCACTCAAATGTACAACAGTACAATCTAACAACATCTCCATCATCTATTACTATTTTAAAAGTATTTTATTAGCAATGCATTATAAATACATATGATCTGGGAATATGTCAGGAACAATGACAGCGGTGCCACTCACCCTAAATTTTTTGTGCAGCGTGCCTTTAAAAGACTGGCATCTTATAATATATATATTATCAATCATACGATTGGTGTTAAGGTCTTTTCTCTCCAATACTTTCTTGTCTTTGTTGGACAATTCATGTCACAAATTGATCCAGCTTTTCCAGCAGATCATCCCAATTGAATTCCACAATATCATTATTTTGTCATTTTATCTATTAATAATGTATGTGTGCGACGAGAGTCTTGTTACACCAAGAGTCTATCTAGCCCAGCCTTCTGTTCATCTACTGGCCAACCTGTCGCCTATGGGAAACCAGCAAACAGGACATTGGAACAACTCCATTTCAAGATTTCCAACAACTGGTCTACAGAAATGTATATCAGCACCCTGTCAATACAGCCCATAGCACCTGGTTTTCATTGGGGGCCTCCCATTTAAGCACTAAGCTTCCAAGATCAGTCAGGATCTGGTGCCTTTAGGGTATTTTGGCATAGTGCCTATGTTACTGTGGGTATTACGCAGCCATCCCAACCAGCAATCATTGTTATTATTAATGCTATTCAAACATTGAAATAACCTTTTCTCTTGGACCTGTTTTTTGTTAACAACTATGCACTGACTAAAAATTACTCACTAAGTTATTATATTTAAAAGATCAGAATTTAGAGCATCTTAATTTTTCCTCTCCAATACTGGATTATTAGGAGCCTTGTCATCAATACACTTGAAACCAGCTCTTACTGGTTTCTTACTGGGGACATGGTGGTGCAACAGGTTAAACTGTTAAGCTGCTAACCTGAAGGTTGGCAGTTTGAATCCGTGAGATGGGGTGAGCTCCTGCTGTTAGTCCCAGCTCCTACTAAACTAGCAGTTCTAAAACATTCCAATGTGAGTAGATCAATAGGTACCATCTCAGTGGAAAGGTAAAAGGGTGCCCCATGCCGGCTACATAATCGGGAGGTGCCTACGGACAACACAGACTCCTCGGCTTGGAAATAGAGATGAGCACTGCCTCCAAAGCCGGAGATGAAAGGGGAAGCCTTTGTCTTTGTCTGTGTATTTGTGTTTCATTGTGTTTCAAAGGGATTGAATGTTTGCCTGTGTCTGCATATATGCTGGAATCCGCTCTGAGTCCCTTTGGGGAGATAGGGCGGAATACAAATAATAATAATAATAATAATAATAATAATAATAATAATTATTATTATTATTATTATTATTACAATACCATATTTACTCGAATCTAAATTACACAGTCAAAAGTGTTGTGTGCATTAGATTTGATGGTGTGTTAGAATCGCATACGATTCCCACACATCAGGCCGAAATGGTGAACTGGCCAGCCTGAACCTGATGGAGAGGTACAGCTCCCCGACTGCCTTCATTTACAAGGTCTTCACAACCGCCCCCTTGGTTTTGATAGTCTCCTGAATAGATGGGAAGGTGCATGTTCAGCCTGAAGGAGGGACACAGCTTCCTCTTGCCTCTCCATCTTTCTGAGGCAAGCAACAGAATGGCCAGCAGGCAAGGAGAGGCCGCAGATGACATTTGACAACAAAAGTTTTTTTGCGATGCTAACTTTATAAATTTGTTTCCATTATGTTTTCAAAAAAAATAGTTTTTGGGCTAAGACTTCCAGAATCCCCTAGCCAGCATGGCTAGTAGTCATGTTGGATTAGGGAGATTTTGAGTCCTAGGGGTGAACCTACATTATAATACAGTTTGACATCACTTTATCTGCACTGACTCAATGTTGTGGAATCCTGGGACTTGAAATTTTACAAATAATTTAGCTTTCTCTGTGAAAGAGTGCTGGTGCCTCACTAAACTACAAATGATGATGATTGTGTGGTTTTCTTATATTGTATATTTCTCCCGCTTCTGTGATTGTTCATTTCTATTTTGATTCTGTAGCCCACTTGTCAATGGATGTTCAGAATCAGCAGCATCCACCACAGTTCTTTTTATCCTGGGCGTCAGTCGAGCCACTATAGACTTAGATTTGGGTTGTTTCTCCATAGTGCTAATGGATTAGGTGCTCTTAGTTCCACTCTTCAGCTGAGACCTCTCTGACTTGGTTGGACCTGCGGTTAGTTACACTACCACCAGCACAGCTCTCAGCATCCTTGGAGCAGTTAAACCCCCTACCAAAAGGTGGCACCCATCTCAAAGCATAGAGGACAAAGAATCAGTACAAGAAAATCGCACTCCAAACAAGAGCTGGCACAACAAAGCATTGCATGGGCGGTTCCCTGACAAAATTGAAGGAAAACTTGACAAGAAGAAGACCTGGTTATGGCTCATGAATGGAACCCTGAAGGAGACAGAAGGCCTAATTCTTGCAGCCCAGGAGCAAGCCACCAGAACAAATGCTATTAAGGCCAGGACTGAAAAATCAGCTGATGATCCAAAATGCAGACTGTGCAAGAAAGCTGATGAAACCATTGATCATATTCTCAGCTGCTGCCAGAAAATTGTACAGACGGGCTACAAACAGTGGCACAACTCTGTCGCCCAAATGATTCATTGGAACTTATGTCATAAGTATCACCTGCCAGTAGTAAAGGACTGGTGGGATCATAAACCTGCAAAGGTTGTGCAAAAT